AAAAGATTTTAATATGACATGAACAGTGGAAATATTCCATTCCCGATACTTTTAGTGCAGCCTAGTACCAATTCGCCTGTAAAGTGTGGTACAACCTGTGATACTTAAACTCTTCTTGCTCTTTTCTTCTTTATCGGGCGGTAATAGTCCATTGTTGGACATGGGCCACCCCCTTAGTAAAGGGAGTATAATATATTACTTGCCATAATCGCAACGCTTGACTGGCAGATTGTTAGTCGCAATGCCAAACGAGTTGCTACTTTATCGCTGCTACCTGTCGCTGTTCTAGCTATTTTACATCTACTTACACCCAATATAAGTAATCTGTAAAAAAATAGTTATAGAGTAAATCATAAGGTAAAATTATACTCATATTTGGTAATCGATTTAGTACAAAAACAACCCATGTTCTTCATGAACAAAAATTCAGAAACACAGAATTCAAAAGAGCATAGAATCATGTATGTTACGAAGATCAATTCAACATTTTATTTCTTTGCAGCTTATTAATCTTTTAGAAAGTTCTACGAATAAAGTTTTTTTTTATGAGACATTTGCTTGAGATTATTTATTTTTAAAATACGATAAACTATGAATAGAGTGGAATAGAATGGAATAATTTTTTATTCGATATTGATTATTAGTTATTACATAGTACAAATTGAAAGTAATTTTATTATTTAACAATAGTTCGGAAAATACCTCAGTAAAGAACCATCAAGAAATACAGCGGGAGTTTTTTTTAATACATATTTCACTTAACAATAATTTTGTACAATTTTTAAAAGAACCCGCATGGTGGCGATCATCACCTCATTCCAAAGGGTTATTTTTGTTTATGTATTCCTTGATATTATAATAAGCCTTTTCCTACAATTTTCCTATAATAAAACATAAAGTTGTTTATTGACAAACTGAACTTTTCCTTGGATTTTGTTGTAAAAGCGTGTGACATTTACCATAAATGTTTGTTTATATAGGTTTCTTCTCTCGAAGACATACTTGATGTGATTTCAAATGTCGCCTAAAAGCGGACAAAGTGTTGGTTATACTAACGAAATTTACAGATAAAGACCCTTCCCTTCTAAGGCTACCGTGTACCACCACTGGTACAACAAATTTCAGCAAGGTTCAGTTTCAGGACTAACTGAGAGACGAAGAATAAGTGGTCGTCCTTTGACGGCTGTTATGGAAGGAAATGTGAAAACAATGAAATATTTTATTGAAGAGAATTAGCTAATTACGCATGAATTCATCACATATTGCAGATTAGTTTAGAAAACGTTCAAACGAACACCTTCGCGAAACTCACCGATGCTTAGCAGCAGACCCGTGTGTAATCGTGCCGTGAAAATGATAAAAAAAAATTATAGCAGTCTCGACTTGGCATGTAATAACAGTAAAACGGGTGATGAATCTTGAATTTACGAGGGTGGATTGAAAAGTACTCGGCCTAACCAAGAAAATAAACACATACTAAATCAGTTATATTTTTATTTTTCTACATAATCACCATCAAGTTCAATACACTTTTGCCACCTCCCCTTCCGAGCATTTAGACCGTTGAAAAAAAATGATTCTTCCTTAGAGTCAAAATATGCGTCTACAGCTGCTTTGACCTCGTCGTTTGTCGAAAATCTTTGACCTCCCAAGTGCTTTTTTAGGTTAGGGAACAGAAAGAAGTCTGATGGTGCCAGATCAGATGAATACGGCGGATGCGGTAACAGTTCAAAGCCACAGTTGTGAATTTCAGCCATTGACTGTACTGACGTGTGAACACGGGCGTTATCTTGATGAAACAGGACTTTTCTTCTGAGCATTCCTCGACGTTTTTCTTTTATTTCCTCTCGTAAACGACGTAGTAAGGTGCAGTAGTAATCAGAGTTTATAGTCTAACCCCTTTCAAGATAATCAATCATAATCACACCTTTCGAGTCCCAGAATACTGAAGCCATCACCTTATTTGCCGACAAAATCGACTTAGCCTTTTTTAGGAGGTGGTGAACCAGGTCTTCTCCACTGTTTTGATTGTTGTTTTGTTTCCGGTGTACAGTAATGAACCCATGTTTCGTCCATAGTAACAAAACGATTCAAAAAATCATCTGCATCGGCTTCAAATAACTCCAAACAGTCGCGTGAAATAGTCAATCGCGTCCTTTTTTGTTCAACTGAAAGCAGTCGCGGAACCCACCTCGCAGACACCTTGTGGAAACCCAACTCGTTGACAATGATGTTTTGAGTTCGTTCATAAGAGATGCCTATAATCTCGGCTATCTCTCTAATTTTTAATCTGCGGTCTCCCATTATTAAATCAAGTACATTTTTAATATTTTCGTCAGTAGTTGACGTCGAAGGCCTTCCAGAGCGGGGTTCATCTTTCACACTCTCTCTACCACGCTTAAATTCTGCTATCCATTTTTTGACGGATGAATATGACAGAGCACAATCGCCTAATGTACTGACCATGTCATCATGGATGACTTTTGATGATAGCCCCTTCTTATGGAGGTACTTAATGACGGCACGCTGCTCGATTTGCTCCATTCGCGGAAATTATGTCCGATTACTTTGTTAATAAATTTATAAAATCACAACTAATTATCGCACACGTTTCGAACTTCACACAATGAACTAGTCTGAACTGAACTAAATAATGTGGGTAGATTTGATTTTTAGAATTGAATGGATCTGTGTTAGGCCGAGTACTTTTCAATCCACCCTCGTATCTATTAAATAGTTTCTCAGCAAGTGAATTATTGTTATACTTAATGAGAAAATAAAGTTCTTGAACCCTAAAATTGATTTAAATGCATAAAACTTTGTACATTTGATGGTGGAGAGTTATTTGAAAATACTAAATATTATATAAGTTTTAACAGCTTTTTTTTAGTTTTGTAAAACTTTCTGAGTGGTATATATGAATGTAATGGAATTTTATAATTCAGCTGTCGAGACTTATTAACAATCTTAAACTTTGCAGACGTATTAAGAACCGATGACAATAGTACAATTATTGCAGGCGTTGAGAAAAACGTTAATTACTAAATTATCCTAGAATAATAATATATTTGATGTGGTTTAGTGCGAGTCATTCGAACATAATACCACTATTATGTGTAAACTCTTACATAATCATCTATGTATACATGAGTTTGTTACTTGTATATATATGTAGATGGATAGGTTTATTAATAAGATATTCAAAGAACTTGTTACACAAGATGTTTGAGTATGTATCGGCTTACTACCTGATAGGGTTGCTACTGGCTATGTTACTTGTCGCTATGTATACGATGCAGGATGTCTAATGTATTTGCGCGGAATTTAAACGGAACAGACCATAGATATATTATATGAAAAGAAAATGCATAATATATACTTACATACTTACATATATACTTTTTGTACCTTTTATATTATTGTATTATAATTAATTATATACCTACCTATATAGCTATAGATATATAATAATTATATATAATATATATAATAGTTATATTAGAAGTATTAGTTGTAGCACGAATGGGTCGGCTCGACCGGGGAAGAACCACGCTCTCATAGAATAACAGCGTAAAATAGTAGCTTAATGCTGCTGTGTCTGGTATGGTAAGTGTAGAGAACCGGCGACCCTTTTTACTGGAAACGAGGCGTTCCGTCTTAGTCCTCACGGGTGATAACGCATCTGCATTTTGATTCGTAATCGAGGATGGATGTAGATGTCTATAGGCCACAGCGACCACTTACTATCAGGTGGACTGTGTGCTCGTTTGTCACCCTATCCTATAAAGAAAACCTAATACATTCTTTTAATCCTTTTATTGATCTGAATAAATACATGACCTTCAACGTATTTTCTCTACTACGTCTAATTTGTTCAGTTGGCGAATAGGATGTGGTAGTACCGCATGTGAAGGACGCAGCGGCTACGCAGTAGCCGCGAACTCTGACCGTGTAGTCTGCAACCACAGAATACATAATAGTACTTGCAACTTTCGAGGAGTATGATGTGGCAATATAACGGTACAAAACCCTCTGGGACGTTGTTAACCGTTATATGAAAATTATTTAATCTTTACACGGTTGATTTAGACTTACGAGTGAATAATATGATATGGTGGCGCTGTAAAATCTATTACTTTACTCACGGGATCATAATTTAATCTAGATTAAAGTACAGAACGATTACGAAACATACTAGAAATATCTCATAGTTTCGGATAAATGGCGGTAGTAACCATCCCATACCACAACAGATGTGTAATACGATGTGCGTTCAATGTATTCTCGATATAGGTATGTTAGAAAAAAGATAAAATTATGAAATATTTTTTATTTTTTGGTATAGATAGATATCTCCTATGACATGAATACATTTACTTGTTCATGAAAAAACTTTTCTATTCCCTTGAAAAATATTCTTCGTCTTGGCCTAAAAAATGATCATTTACAGTGGACGTAGCTCATTATTGTCAGCAAATCGCTTTCGCCGAAGGTCTTCTTTTAAGTGTGGGAATAAAAAGTAGTTACTAGGGGCTAGATCTGGGCTGTATGATGGATGGTTAATTTCCTCAAACCCACAGTTTCGTACAACTTCGTAGCCTTGGAGAGCTGCGCCGTGTGAACCGGTGCGTTGTCATGAAGAAGCAGTACTCCCTTGGTCAGCTTTTCTCTTCTCTTTTTTTCTTCTTCTCTCAAACGAAGTAAGGTGCGATTATGATAACAAATTTTCTCTACTATGGCAGAAGTCCATGTCTAGTGGACTGTAAGGGGCTGATAGATTAGCACGAAACAAATATTTGAGGCCATACAAATGCTTGTTCCGTGCGGAATTCCAATCATACTTATTGAAGAAGAATAAAGTGAAGAACTTTAGCTTTTACTGTATTAATTTAAACCTCAATGAAATAACTACTCTATGTTTCGTTTGTAAACATGAAAATCACCAACTCTTTATTTTATTAGTAATATCGACAATAATGTATCCATCGCAATTGTTTTAGGGTCTGGAGTATCGATGGGTGCAAACGGGCAAACTTGTGGCGGATGGTCCAATCACTGCGCTATCTTGGAACCTCGAAGGCACACGCTTGCTCACCGGCGGCAAGATATTACAGCTATGGCATCAGGCTTCTTTGTACCAGGATGACAGTCAACGTAAGCATATTTCTTATAGCTCTTCTACATGATGGGCCAGCGCTGGCCCAGCGAGATGGTCATGCGATGGTTGAAACGCAACTACACGATGGCGACATTTAGTTGTGATCGAAACGTTTTTCGAGCAAGGTGGGCCATCGTGTAGAGAAGCTATTGTTACGAGCTTAGGGTTCGTGACAATAAAAACTGCCGATTGAATTACCATAATTGACACTTTAATTACCACATATCAATTAAAACTAATACACACTAATAATTAATCACACAACACTTTACTTTTCACTTTATTTCGCTCCGAAGTCTTCGTTTGTGTCGCCAATTCAATACTGTCGTGGCCGCCCCGCCCCTCGGTCCGGTGCCCCGGTCGCGGCCAAAAGGCTTTATATACTTAGGCCTTTTCCACCGAAACATCTAGAATGTTGCAGCAAATACCGGTCCCGACCGACTAAATGTAGAAAATTCGAGTGTGGAGTTTTCTAGTAAGCTTAGTTTTTCTAGTCGATACTAGATGGAGTGGGATGGATTGGGGATGGAGTGGGAGAGTTCTAGAAAGATCTTGACACTCCTACTTCTGCTGCTTCATACCAGATGGCGCTAATAATCACCCGCCTTATACCGGGCTTATACTGTTGCTTGACGTATGATATTTATGCGATTCTGATAAACTAGCTTATGTGTTTGTTTGTGTAGCCTACAAGATTGCCAATATGGACACAGATACCGACGTGTCTCTACAAGTTATCCAGTTTTGCTAATTTTAGTACGAAATAGTATTATTTTTTATAAGTATTATAAGATATACTGTTAAAAAAAGTTCCGCTGGGTTTCTTGCTGATTATTCCCAGCACAGAGTTTTTTTTCCAAACCTACGGCGTTGGTCGTAGTACTATGTTGAATAAAAATCACTCTGTTCTATTTTATTATATTATTTCAAATAAATCATAAGTAAAACTTGGATTTAGCATTTTTGAATTTCAAATGTTAGTGTGATCTGAATGAGACCTTATAGTTTTAGCAGACATTCTAAATTAAATTGGCATTCTGCCTGCTTTTATTGATTTCATGAAATAACTGACGTAATGCTCGCAAATGTTTAATCTATACACAGTTTACTTCTATATGGGGCGAAATATAGATTCATTAAATATATAACATAAAATTTAATTCAATATTCATTGCGTAGATTTGACGTAATTTACCTTCGTAAATCATAGAAGAGTAAAGTTTAAAAGTAATAAAGATTCCCATAAAGATGTTATATTTTGATCGCGTAGTGGCAGTATACGAATATCCACTATCCCATGGGTGTCGTAAGAGGCGAGAGGGGGAAACAAACTAGGATATTAACAATGCGAGCCGCCTGCCAAGCGTGGCAACTATGGCAAATATACTCCCTATGAGGCAATATAGGTGGAAGCGTATGTTCAGCCGTGGACTGTTATAGGCTGTATCGGTAATAGATGTTGGTATTGATTTATTAGTAAAGTAAAGTTACAGCCTCTATATACGTCCCACTGCTGGGCACAGGACTCCCCTCATTTCTGAGAGGGTTTTAGGCCAAGGAAGTGTCCGCCGCGCTGCCCCTTCAATGCGAATTGGCGAACTTCACATGTCTTTGAAATATTTTTTTCTTATTCCTCAGACATGCAGGTTTCCTCACGATGTTTTCCTTCACCGCCGAGCACGTGGTAAATCAGCACTTAAAATTGCAATTAACAATTTCATTGGTGCCGGCGGGGATCGAACCCGGGTTACTCGCGTTCTGTTATATTTACAGCGAGCGTTAACCATCTGAGCTACCACGGCTCGTTATTGATTTATTGTAAAAACTTTTTAAATAAAAAGTTAGTTATAGTCTACAAATATTTTTGTGCTATTTTGGCTAAACGTTAACTATTGTCTTTACCATAATTTAATACAGCACTGTTGGCTAGTGGCAAAACGTATCGTCTTTTTAGGAAATGATAAATATATGTAAATCAGTATTAGAATTTAAAAAAATATTCATAGGGTAAGTTATTTAACCTAAAACACATACTATAAAAAAGGTAAAAATAACTGCACAATGACAAAACAAAATAAAATTAATACATTTTTTTCGTGGCAATTGGGAACCCTAATAGTATTAAGCAATTAAAAATACTTACTGCGTGAATATTGCAGGTATTTTTATTTGTCAAATAAAAATACAACAATAATAGTCCCATATTGGCAGTATGTAATTATAATAAGAAAATATTGGGTAAAATATTTTACTATGCCTAGCAACATTTTCATCATATCGGCGTCTGTCAAATTTAAGAATTATTATTTTGTTTTTATGAATGTTTCTTACAAAAATATAAGATGTTAGGCAGTAATTATGTGATGAGTTGTGACACCTTGACACCACATGTGCACATGCATGTGTATGGTATTCTCTTTTTTGTGATTATTTGATTTAAAACAACCAGACGGATCCAACTAGTATATCATCTCGTAATTTAAAACACTCGATGGTTAATTCGATATTATATCGATAGAATTAATATTTTTAATAAAATAAAAAAAGTGTAATAAGGTCTCACCTAATTATTAAGATGATAATAGAATTGTAAGGATAAAAAGCCTTAGGAGTACGTTCGGGACTTACGCGAATACGGACACGTAGATTTCCTCTCATTTATTTTTTCACATTTTTTGTATATGTAAGTAAAAATTTACCGTCAATCTTTGACAATTTGACTTTATAAGCTTGTTAAAAATTGCGCAAAACTTTATAAACATTGCGATATTTTATGTTACGTTGTAATTTTATATTTAAGAAGCTCTTTACTTATTTTTCTATTATAACGTCTAATAGATTGCTAAGTATTGTTATTTTGTTTAAGAAACCTTGCAATATCATATAAATGGAAACAAAATTAATTTCAGGATAACAGACCTATTCTGGAGAATGAATTACGTTAGTAAGGTTTTTAAAACTTTTTCTTATGCTCATAAACAAAAACTTTTATGTCAATAAAATTACGTTATAAGGAAAAAAATGATAAACTTTAAAGACTTACTAAAACCTAATTATTCTTCAACATCAAATTTATAAAAAAATACACAAGTATATTTTTAATGAAACGAACGTCGTCTAATAAAATGAGGGCTCGATTACACCCCCTAGGTTATGTGGACCCTCGAACTTTTTGTAAAGCAAACTCAGAATCTTTAGGTATTTTTTCCGGACGTCTATAGTTTTAAAGGACTAGTACCCAATAGGCGCTTTATAATAGGTATTATTTTAGATCCAATTGTAAATATATATGTTTAGATTTGATTATATATTTATAAAAATAAATAAGAATTAAAATACGTGCATTGTATTAAAATACATGTATTTTCAACATAGGTATACTGTAATCGTTATTGAAAGTCATCGGCTGTTCGGATAATACATATATACGTCTCACTGCTGGGCACAGACCTCAGGGTAGACGTTTTAAATAGAAGCTTTTATTAAAATCGCACAGAAATTAAATAAACGCTCAATCAGATATTTTAACTTAAAAAACTTAAAGTATTTTTAATTAATTGCAATTTTACGAGAGATTTTGTGAATTACCACTATCATATTTTCACATTTTTATGAATGTGTATTAATTGTTTATAATTAACGAACGGATCTACCGAATAAAATATAAAAATAAAAACATCTTATTACTAAAAAAGTAAAAAAAATATGTACCTGTAGAACACCTGCTAGAGAACACCCTCTTCCTCATTTTGTCTTTTGGTTCTTACCTGTCGGAGGCGACTATATTATACCAAAAAATGTCATACTTAAGGCAGATGGCGGTTTAACCTCGAATATTTTAGATGGAAAGTACCCTACCTCGTCTGCCAAGCTTTGTGATTACGGCAGATTCTCTCTACAATAGGATCAGATTCTATGGATTTTTTTTAGTTCTTCGTAGCTTAGTATATTTTTTTGAAAGAGTTATAACTAACTCATTTAATAAAAGAAACAATAATTGAACGTGATTCAAAATGAGAGCATCTATGAATTTTTCTGCCACTAGGGCGACGCCACTTAAAAATGAATCAAAACCCTCTCAGAAATGTGGGGAGGGAGGCCTGTGCCCAGCAGTGGGACGTATATAATCTGTAATTTAATTTACGTACACTAAAAATAAGTAACCAAACCGCAGATATGCATAAAAGTAGAAGAATTTTATAAGAGTTAAGAATGTGCAAAAAATTAAAGAGCAAACCAATGAGGCATTGTCTTGTGTATTATTATAGTACTCTAGAAACTGATGAACGTTTATTTAAAACTAACTTCTCAATAAAATGACATTGTGTAACAAAAACTTCACCTCAGTGTCAACAAGCGACATCTGGTGAGCGGAAGATTATTAGCCCTCATTGACGAATGTATCGTCTAACATACACACCCCCAGTCTAATTGAGGAACTCTTCTTTTTTTGAAGACGGCTGATAAAAAAGATGCCTATATCTTTTTAATCTAGCATTTATTAGGTCTTGTCACCTATTTTTTATTTTAATTCAAATGCCCTCAAAAATATTTATGAATATTATAATTACTTTATTAAAAACTTAGTTATAATCTGTTACAGCAAGTTCCGGCGTCACATTTCAAATTGGCGGAGATAGAGACGAAAAACCAAACAAGCAGCCAGACGATGAGGAACCTGTAAGCACCATTCGGCGCAGATACTAATCTATTGTAGATAAGATATAACCACTGTTTACTTACCCGGTGAAATATTTCTGATATTGTTTAAATCTTTAACTTTAAAGTATCTATATCAAATAAGAAAAGTAAATACCCATACAAAATATTTTTTTTTTTTCAAAAAGCGATGAACGTTTGACAATATAATATAATAGTCTAGTGTTAGTATAATATAACAGTAAAATAGTAATATAAGTCTTCATAAAGTAAAAAAAAATTAAAAAGCTGACACGAGATGTGTCATTCATTTCCATTCATTTGTAATTTTCTATTAGCATTAACAATTGTAATACGCATACAATTTTTTTAAAGCAACGAACTTTTGATAATATAATATAATAGTCTAGTGCTAGTATAATATAATAGTAAAATAGTAATATAAGTCTTCATAAAGTAAAAAAAAATTAAAAAAGCTGACACGAGATGTGTCATTCATTTCCATTCATTTGTAATTTTCTATTAGCATTAACAATTGTAATACGCATACAATTTTTTTAAAGCAACGAACTTTTGATAATATAATATAATAGTCTAGTGCTAGTATAATATAATAGTAAAATAGTAATATAAGTCTTCATAAAGTAAAAAAAAAATTAAAAAGCTGACACGAGATGTGTCATTTATTTCCCTTCATTTGTAATTTTCTATTAGCATTAACAATTGTAACACGCATACAATTTTTTTTAAAGCAACGAACTTTTTATAATATAATATAATAGTCTAGTGCTAGTATAATATAATAGTAAAATAGTAATATAAGTCTTCATAAAGTAAAAAAAAAATTAAAAAGCTGACACGAGATGTGTCATTCATTTCAATTCATTTGTAGTTTTCTATTTGCGTTAACGATTGTTAAAAGTCAACTTCGTTAACTTTGGTGGACAGAAAGAATATTGTAATAATATATTAATAAATAATTAAGACATCTCAAAAAGTTTATCGGTTAATTTTTCTCGTATACCAGGGCTGGATTTGTGTATGGCAATGTCATACGGCAACACCAGCGCACCACCTCGCCTTCTCGCCTGACGGCGTGCTCTTCGCCACGTCCGGCATGAACGATAGGCTTGTTAAGATCTGGTTCCAGAACAAAGGTAAAGTGTAATAAATTTTTCCTATTACATATATTAAGTGAAAATGGTGTTTCAACTTTCAACTAAAATAAAAAAAATTAAATTTGTTGTTAAGTGGTTTAATTGGTCTTAGGCGAAACTTAAAAGATTGAAATTATACAGATCTCAATTTCAATATTTTTCTCTTGACAAACCAAGAGACGATTCATCTTAATTGTTTTATGGAAGTTGTGGCCGTATGTATAAACGTTACGCTAGACAGATCCTAACTCAATGATAAAATAAAGCAACACGTCAGCATCAACTTCATTGGCATTGTAATAATAATAGCCTCCAGACCGAATTTCGGTCACGGTGACCAGTCTCAACGGAGACTGGTCATCGGTGCAGGACGGGGTTATTGTGCCCAAGTGTATGCGCAAGCACAGGTGCACTCTCTATTCCCTTACTCTCATGGTCCGATGGAACAGTAAACCGACACGACCGGAGACAAAGGCTTTACGTGCTTTCCGAGGCACAGGGAGAGACACCGCTAACTTCCTGACTATGTGAAGCTACTGAGAATTTCTTAATCGAAAAACTCAAACAGATGGATTTGAACCCGGGATCTCATGATCAGCAGTTTCACTACTACAACCACTAGACCAACGAGGCATTGTAATATTAGACATCTAGCACTATTAACTCTTTCCGGTCTTCAGTCTGGTTGTTTTACATTTGATACATTTGATGATTTCACCGCTATCTGTCGGATGCTATGAGTTCTGGGTTCTGGGAATACATAATAATGTGTGTTGAATTTAGTGAGCTACCATGATTATTCAGACACATGTGTTGCGGCTATGTTCGTACAGAAAGTGTACATATCGTAACACTCGTGTTAGTTCTAATGTAAATAGGTGATTCTTGTAGTTGTAAATTGATAATGCTTAGTTTTAGCTTTTAGCAGATACTTTAATTGATGATATTATATAATTTCCTACTAATATTATTTCAAGTGTAATTGATTATTATAAAGGTGTGCGTACGTATTTCAGTACTGGCGCAGGCTCACGGCGAGCACTCGGCGCCCGAATTAAATTATACGTTCGTCTACGTCGCTCACCCGCGTGCGGTTACGCACTTGTCGTGGCGAAAAACCAGCAAGTACATGCCCAAGTATGTGAGAATTATATAGTTGAACAAATTTTTTGTGCTTCACACATTTTGTTATCTATTCATAAATGTTATTTGTAAAATTACACAACATAAAAATACAAACATAAAATTTAAATTATTATTGGTTTTTACATATTAGTATAAAAATTTAATAAATGTGATTTTATAAAGATACATAGGATATCATTAAGATGTTATAGACATTGTTATGTCGTGATTTGTAGTTACTATTTATTGTCTTTAGTGTTAGACTTGCAAAACATATTTTTTAACCGTTTAAAAAATTCCTTAAGAAAAGTTTGCAACAACTTCACTCTTTAAACGTCAATTTTCATACCATAGACACGCAGCCATTTTAATTACTTTTTACTAAAGTACAAGAAAATGCGATACAACTTATAATTAATAACAATTTTAACAAAAATAAGTAATTTATAATTATGAAATCTATTTTAGCTTATAAATACTTTTATAAATACCTTCGAAAGCATTTAGTATTTGTGCGCAATGCGAAACAGTTTGGTAGATCTATTCTTTTCTACACAGAGTAAGCAAGAAATTCAGCAATTATATTTTTCATGTAATTTTTTTATATTTTTTCTGTTTTACTGTAGTGTTAAATATCTTGTAGTGAAAGGTCGTTTAACCTTTCACTACAAGATGAAAAAAAACTTTTTATTCATAATGAATTGGCGTCGTAATAGAATCTACTACCAAATATCAACTCGTGTGTGTCGCAAGACGCGAGTGAAGAAAATGATGAAACGGATGTGCAGCAGCATATTTCTCACAAAGACTCATAGTTATACAAAAATTCGGTCGTCAACATGCTTGCCAAGCCTAACTCTATGGGGAAGATCTATGTACTTCAGTGAACTTTTGATAGACTGTAGTGGATGAATGGAATAATATAAGAACAGCGTTTTATTTGTAACACATTAAGCAGCTTTTTTCATATGCAATAAAAAAATATCACGCAACTTATGTCGCCTTAAAAATAAATGAACCTTAAGCCCTTATGATTTGTTTAACTAGCTTGCTATAAACTAATTATAATATACTATAATATAGTATTATAAAATTATTTTTCTTGTACTGTCTGCGCTGTAGCTGAAGGACGGATGTTTAAATATGGGTAGGCTTTAGTGATAAAACTTTGTGGTGGTGGTGATGGTGTGCAGGGGCAGCGTGGGCAACGTGCTGGTGACGTCGTGCGTGGACAACATCTGCCGCGTGTGGGCGGAGACGCTGCTGCCGGAGGACGAGTGGGGCGGCGACGCGTACTCGCGCTCGCCACCGCGCCGCCAGCGCGCCACGCACCGCCACAAGCACCGCTTCATGCAGCGCCTCAAGCACATGAAGTTAGTACATACGCACGCACGCACACACGCACACATAGATGCGCACATACACACAGACGCGCACATACACACAGACGAGCACATACACACAAACGCGCACATACACACAGACGCGCGCACACACACACACACACACACACACACACACACATTCACATACACACAAAGCTCATTAGTATGCGCGAACAGATACCTAATAGGTTTTCATTACTTGGTGCTAGAACTATTAGTTGGTAGAACACTTCTTTTTCTTTGTTATGTTCCTGGTTCTTTCCGTGACAGAGGTTTCTCAGAAGAATCAATCCAACTAAAGGCTATAGCCCACGTGTTCGTGTACATGTGGGCTATAGTCTTTAGTTGTGGTGTGTTCGTCTCGGTGGTAGCGCCACTTGTTGTTGTAATTGCGGTCGCTCTTGATGATTCAGTTTACTTTGCCTTTCTCCAAATCCCGGTCCGCATTCTGGTTCCCTCGGACCTTTTACTCTGATCCTGTATCCTCTTCATTCTTCAAGAGGTAAAGTCCACTGTGGCTTACAGTGTCCCAAATTTTACGCCCACACACATATATGTGTATGAGCGTGATTAGAAGACAGATGATTCCTCCCGGAAAGTCCAGATTCTAAAATATCAGTGCCAATCTTAAATGGTACTTGTAGCTCAGTTTATATAGATACGAATATGTTGAAACCATTACAAAATATGAGTTTTATCTTCAATAAAAATGGCGATACATTTAAAAAAGCATGTTAGTCCTTAAATCACTATGATACAAGTTCAAGGTAATAATTAGAATGTTGTCTCAATAGTTACTTTAAAAACCCTGTTTTTCTGTTTCTATTCTACTTCTGAATTAGAACCTATTTAATAAAAGAAGGTTAGAATATTAAAACTAATTAAGCCATTTCCGAGTAACATTAGTGAACATACACGTATAAAACACACACATAAAATATAGAAACTTCTCGTTTCTCTAAGTTGGTTAACAGCAACCAGGCGTTGTCGCAATATTATTTTTACAGGACCTGTTTCCACATACGACGGAACGCCCAATCCTCCAAGCAGCCCGGCGCGCCAATTCCCACATTGCCATCCACATACAGTGCACATGACTTTCATAACCCTTACCACGCAAGTTCCTATACTGGAGGTGAGTATTTAGTAGTTTATATTCCTATGAAACGCATATTGTTCCATTATCTTGATTGATGATTGATGGCTGAATGAGATCATATGCAGATGTAATAACATTCAGATAAGATAGAACAGATAAATATGCGGACCTTATCTATCAAAAGGTTTAAAATATTTATTAAACCAAAATTGTTAATGGTTATTATACTACTAAAGAGTATATGATTGATGGAGATGAGGTGATCGCTACCATATTTCTTAATCTTTTCATAACAATAGAGAAGTTGCATTATTTTATTGTCACATACATATACATATATAAACAAAAAAAGAAAAAAAAAAAAAAAAAAAAAAAAAAAAAAAAAAAAAAAAAACCACAACACCCCCAAAAAAAACAACAAAACCCAAAAAAAAAAAAAAAAAAAAAAAAAAAAAAAATAAAAAAAAAAAAAAAAAAAAAAAAAAAAAAAAAAAAAAAAATTAAAATAAAAAAAAATCTAATTCCATTACCTACATCTTTCATTTTTTTTTTTTTAAAAAAAAAAAAAACAAAAAAAATTTTTTTTTTTTTTTATTATATTTGGCTATATATATATATATATATATATATATATATATATAATACAAATAAATATATATAATAATGAATTTATAAATGAAAGAATAACTAATTTAAAGTATATTTTAATATTTTTATTAACAATTCCATTTTTTAGTAATTATTATTCAAAAGTTATTAAATTTAGAAATATATATATTATAAAAATTATATAAATTTAGAAATATATATATTATAAAAAATATATAAATTTAGAAAAAGGATTGTGACGTCATTATATTCGTTGATGCTGTGAGCCAATCGCAATCATGCTTTGTATATTTCATTGTTTTTGTATTTTCTATATTCGGATCACCATGTGTCATAACAAAACATGTACAGTAGATAGAGTCTCACTAATCCGGCACTGTAACAGACTAAGAAGTGACGGATTACCGGAATGTTCGGATTACTGGATTGTATAGAGAATTTAAGGTAATGTAATAATAAGACGATATGTATTTACATATTACATACATAATATGTTTATTTGTGACAATATTTATCTTACTTGACTAATTTATCTTAAAATAGTCCTTAATTAAGGTCTATTTTTTGCAACTTATAGTTTTTGTTAAAAAACTTTTTCTCGGAGGTTTCGAATTATTATAACATCCTTGCCAGATACACCATTTTCTTAAGTCCATGCTATACAGGTTTGATACAATTGAACGCTGTATCTGATTTTATTTTCGCAGCAGTAGTTGGTGGCCAATATTTCTGTAAGGTTTTACTCTTCTTGCACCTCTTCACGTATTTATTCATCTGACATCACTTGCTCTGTTTCGTTAGTGTTTCCATTAGGCCAAGAATTTAAATCTGCTTCGCTTATCTCTTTTCCAGACTCCATCGTCTTCACGCGTTCCTCTATCTTCTATCTGTTTTTTCTTAAGATCGTGCAAAGTAGCACGCCCAACTTCATACTCTTTCGCCAGTTTGCACATGCTTTCTCCACTAACTTTTTTAAATCTCCATTTTCTCTTTCAATGTTTTCGTTTGCTCAACATCTAGGTCTACGCTATTTTCATGACAATTCACTACTCGCGTACGTGTCTAAACAAGCAGCAGGTACGTGTTTAAACAAGAGTGCACATACTATCTTACGTGCGCAAGCTTTCGCTCGTACTGATCTGGTTGGGAGCGGCGGAAGAGAGAGGTGCAGGCGGAGTTAGCGGTGGAGTAGGATTCCGGATCCGGACTAATGGACATGCTGGAGTAATGAGACTACTGTATAATCTGTGCAAAGACAATTTTTTTAATTTTAACAACGTAGACATGAGTGTTTTATCATTTCACCATGGCGGTGAAATTACTAAAGCTATATAATGACGTCACTGGCTTTTGAATTTACGTTTTAGAAAAAACATTTTTAATTGTAAAATTACACGAAAAATCAATTGTTCAATTTTTTTTAAATAATTTTTACCAAACTATCAATATAACATGCAATTTCTCTATTGTATACAATATTATATTGTAAATTGTGCTTTTTTTTAAAAAGTCCGGCTAGGTTTCTTGCTTGTTCTTCCGAGAACGGAAGTTTTTTTCCGAACCAGTGTTAAAAGTAAAAAATTACTTTCAATAAGAATTATATATAATCAATATTGAACAAAAATGATTCTATTCTATTCTATCAGTGATCAATAGAAAAGATATCACCAACATATTGTAACTGACAATAAGGTTATGTCAGCAAAGTATATAATATTATATTGGTTAATTTATAAACGTTACCATGTTACCACTAGTTTCTCTTGTGTAGAGTAGATTTTTAACGTACATAATGACCAAACATCCAGGCCTGGAATAATTATCAGTAGGCTATACAACCATACAAACAATTAACCTGTGCGGGAATCGACCTGGGACCCCCAGTGCTTCAATCAAAAATTTTGCAACTACGCTACCTAACTACCACTATTAGGCTTAATTTATAAAACTGTATGAATTATCTTCTTAACATAACATAAACACTCACGCCTGTCACCCAGAGGGGTAGGCAGAGACTACAGACTTCCATTTGGCACGATCCTGACACACCTCTCTCGCCTCCATCACATCCATATACCTACGCATACATGCTCGTCGGTTAAGGGTACTCCTAATTTGGCCCGTTTTTAATAAATCGCCAATTTGGTCGATACATTTTCGCCTAGGACGTACCTTTCCGACTCTGCAATTCACTTCTGCAACATAAATTTTCTTTATGTTCTTAATTACACAGTTTTCCTTTTTAGGTCTTCACTTTCATTTGGCGGCGTCAATAAATGCCGAAACGGATATCCCACTGGTGCCTTCTCTGGCGGGCGGTGGTCGTTTCATACTACATTGGTTACACAACAAAGAGATGCATTTCACCAGCCAAGCGGAAACCATACTGCATGACCTCACTAAAAAAGTATGTACTCTTCTTTTTTATCAAATCATAATTAAATACCGATTTCCAGAATCATTACTTAATGTGATTTTGGAAAGTTAGAAAAACTCGCTATGAAAGTGTAATGATCGGCGCAAAGGTGAAAATGTCATTCTTCCCTTTAATTTAGCCGTCGGTGAAAAATTCCAAAAAATATGCTCAGATATGATCTGATGAGGACATACCATAGAATACTATAATACATACATAATGGAACGGGGGAGTGGGCGGTGCCCGCGTAGCCACTAACATGTCAATTCACACGCATAAGTGTCAACGCGAGATGTGTTTTGACGTTATAATCGTTTCCAAATTTCGCATGCAAATTATTTAGCAAATGCCAAATTGCATTTATTAAAATCCGTCTGTCAACACAGCGAATCGGGTTTGTAGAAGTGATTAACTGATAATATGACGTAATTGTATGTGTGCTCCCGGCGACGCCGAACCTCGGTACAAAATAAGGTTGACAGCCATTCTATTGTATATTATAGTATTCTATAGGACATACTGTGTCGCAAGTGTGCGCCACAAATCCTAAGGCTCGCACCTAATCGCTCATAACCACAACTAATATATCCGAAAAGTAGTTATCCTGATTGGGTTTTGGATTCGTTATGCCTTGCAGTCGCAGTTCAACACTCTTTAGTACGGAATTTAAATTAAATAATGCCTTAGAGGCCCAGCCTGATATTTTCGCTCATATTGTTTTAAAATTTTTGTCTTAAAATGAATCAATTGAATAAGGCACTTACTTACACTAATTTTGCCTAAATCCACAACTGCGCGTTAAAATAAATCCAAAAAATAAGTGAAATTTAGAGTTGCATATTTAATGTTTGGTTAGTTTAGTACACAGTAGTATTTTTGTAAGATAGGCACTACTTTTCACAAGAACTTAAAAATGAAGTTTTCACAGGTCTTAGATAAGGAAGATAATGAGGATGCAGTTTCTGGTTTAGATCACACCCCACATCAAGACGGAGAAAATGAATCAAGTATGGTCTTTTAATTATTACTTGATTTAAGAAGTATAATAAACTATATTAAATTGATTTAATCAGCTTACTATATGTAATAATAATGTTGTTTTAATTATATTGTTAACTTGCTCTCTTCTATATGCTTATATAGTAGAATAAGCAAAGTAAAGCTGTTAATATATGGGTGGCGATAACAATGTTATGCAAATAAAATGTAACACGAATTCGATGCAGCACCCTTCAACTATATAGAAAAGCAATCAAACGTATTCATATGCTTAGTCGCAGGATTTTTGGTTTAAAATTGTAAGTAAATTAATACATAATGACTTTATCGCTTGTCACTAGGTAATAATCGATACAGTCAACAAACTGTTCAAAAAAAAAAACATAAACACTCACCCAGAAGGGTAGGCAGAGACTACGGACTTCCATTTGGCACGATCCTGACATACCTCTTTCGCCTCCTTTAGATCAATATATCTACGCATACATGCTCGTCGGTTAAGGGTACTTCTAACGTGGCCCATTTTCAAAATATCGCCAATTTGGTCGATAAACTTTTTTCTAGGGCGTCCCTTCCCGACTCGGCCGTTCACATCTGCCATATAAATTTGCTTTGTCACTCTTTCCTCATTCATTCTTTCTACATGACCAAACCACCGAAGCATTCCTTTCTTAATCCTGGTCACAACATCATCTTGCATACCACATTTATCTCTTATCACGCAAACTGTTCCTACAAAAAAAAATATATTGCGGCGTGAAAACGATGTTGTCGTAAAAAATAACGCCTACTGGCTCGTACTGTGAACCATGGCGATGTTGTTGATTTTAAGGACCATTAGTAATGTGTTGTTAATGTTGTAATTGGTTAAGAATATTATTTTGTCTAGGCTGATGGTAGGCGCTTTCAAATTTCAATTTCCAACGGATCAGAAATTGCAAATCACAATTATAATTATTCCGGCCTGAAGGATAAGAGAACTACTCAAATTACAATCTGTGAGGAATTTTATTTTAGCCCTGTTAAAGTTGTAAGCATTGTCCATGAGCAGCAAATACTGACATCATGTTAACTGTTAGCTCGTTGGTCACACTTATATTATTATTCAAATATTTTCTTGAACTTGTATTGTTTTTATACTGTGACATATTTTTATTATATTTATATTGTGACATCGTTATCGCTATCTTATGATTCGTGCCCAAGTTAAAACTTAATGCTTCGTCGCTTATTTCACGCTGCTATTTAGGATCTAGGCGACCAAGCCATCATTTGACTAAAGTACAATCGGAAGACAATAGCAATAGTGATGAGCAACCAGGTAAGGTTCATCATTCATGTGACATTTTGAAATATAGCCTAATTGTATGTATTTGTATAAATAATAAGACAAGACATATTATCGCTTCAGTTTGTACAGCTTACACAATAGAATAAGGGAAATTTTTTAGTAACATTTAAATAGTTTTGGCTGCCTAATATAAAAAAAAAGAGATACCTTAATGGATTAACAAATTATTAGGCACGTACAAAAATAGTAACAAATATAATATAATGCCTGAAGGTATGCTACTTTTACTTTATTGCTAAAACTGTTATCTTTAAAAGAAATAATTCATTTTGTGTACAATTTAAAATTTAATACACAACATATGATTTTGAAAATAATAATATTTAATAAGCTCCAAATGGAGAAAATCGTACGATTGTCAGCTTATTAAATGTTTATGCTGGGTATGAATTTTTCATTAAATTCTTCCGTAATTATTTGACAGATTAACGATCACACAAACAGATAAAGGTTAGACCTTGTCGCCGTTAACAGTTGAAATAATTATTATATTATTATTTCACCATCGATTAGAAGTCCCTGGTGTTCATTAAAATTATCGTAGCCCAATTGTTATAGTGACTTACGACACAATCACGTGGCATACAATCTCAAATTTTTCTTTTGTAACATCTCTGATTATAGATAAAATATACTGTAATAAAGGCATAATGATATGATACGTAAATAAAAAAAATAATGAAATATTTAGTGTTGGCGGGATGCATTAATCACCCTTTCTCATTCCGTGGATGTTATACCAGGCGACTATTTGAAAGATGGTGGTATATTGTTGGATAATGGACTAACTCGGTAAGATAATTAATAATATTCTAAAATACCTGTTTTATTTAACAGTTTGATGTGTGTGTTGCCGACAGTATAACTATTTTATATATATGTGATCTAAAAGTCCAGCTGCAATGCACAGCAGGGTCAACTGATCCGAAAACTTGAAGATTACGATACGAAAAACCCCCTCCACTACGGGAGAAGTCCATGTTCAGCCGTGGGCTATTGATGGGCTGGTGGTTCATGTATCAAAGTATTTGACGGTTTGAGCAGGCAGCGGCAACCACAGCCACCCGAGCCTGTCCAACACGACGTCGATCAACTCGATCGCGACAGACGTCACGTGCACGCACCTGCCGGACTCGCTCGACGCTAAGATCGAGGCGCTGCTGCGCGACTGGCACCAGAGCCCCGACCTGCTCTTCTCTATACACCCCGTCGATGGCAGCTTTCTCATATGGCACGTAATATAAATTATCCTTAAGTCTTTTTAAATCTTCATGTGAATTGTATGACAGAAATTGCTATGTATCAAATTAGACAATTTTTTTCTTTATATTTATATATTATGTTATATAATTTTTCCTGCGTGTCTAATAAAGAGACCCGATCAAAAATACCGCACATTCAGACTTAAACCAACGATATATTTTTGAACAAAATATGACTCCAGTGTGTACTAGTTCATGTGATGGTAATTTGATAACCATCACCATTATTTTTACATCCCTTTCATGCATCTCACGCTAAGTCCTCTGTTTAATACATGCTTTCCCCAAAATTTGCTATCGAACCATCCTATGTAACTAGGAAGTCATCCTACACGCTGCTTACCAGTATGAGGCTTCTACTCTAGAACCTCTCTTTTCCATTGGTTGTCGGTCTTTGTGCTGTATTGCTGGCATATTACCACTTCAGCGGACTAATCTCTTAGGTTATGTTGACTATTTTGCTTCTACTGTGGAGACCTCTGTCACGCGGAGTAACTATGAGCGTAGGCCTTTCCATAGTACATTGTGTTTTTCAGCTTCCTTATAGTTAATATCAGCATAGATATGCATAGTATAGTAATGTGCACACTTATATACTGTTATTAAAAGTTTGACACCTTTGTACCAACCAATGGTGAAAAAGATTTTCTAATGGTAGTTTCGTATCAGTAACCGATGTATAAAGCGGCCTCTTCTTGCAAAATGTATAGGAAGTCGATGGATGCGAGTGACTCAGGATCATGCTTTGTGGCATTTCTTGGCAGAAATCTATGTTCAGCAGTAGATTAGTGAAGGAATGTAACGATTATGGAGAACCTTTATCGCTGCAGGGTTTGCGAGTGGCTGGACGAGGTGCAGGCGGGCGCGATTCGGCAGGCGCAGGTGTCGTTCTCGGCGCGCATCCCGAGCGCGTTTCCTCTGGGCGACGCCACCACCATGTGCACTCCAGCCGCGCTGTACCACGCCGCCGCGCAGCCGCTGCACGTGCGCCACCGCACCAAGCCCGTCGCGCCCGGTACGTACCGACACGCACCGGCACGTGCCCGCTGGGCGACGCAACCACCATGTGCACGCTGGCGGCCGCGCTGTACCACGCCGCCGCGCAGCCGCTGCACGTGCGCAACCGCACCAAGCCCGTCGCGCCCGGTACGTACCGACACAGACCGGCACGTGCCCGCTGGGCGACGCCACCACCATGTGCACGCCGGCTGCTCTGTACCACGCCGCCGCGCAGCCGCTGTATGTGTGTCACCGCACCAAGCCCGTCGCGCCCGGTACGTACCGAGACGCACCGGCACGTGCCCGCTGTGCGACGCAACCACCATGTGCACGCTGGCGGCCGCGCTGTACCACACCACCGCGCAGCCGCTGCACGTGCGTCACCGCACCAAGCCCGTCGCGCCCGGTATGTACCGACACGCACCGGCACGTGCCCGCTGGGCGACGCCACCACCATGTGCACGCCGGCTGCTCTGTACCACGCCGCCGCGCAGCCGCTGTATGTGTGTCACCGCACCAAGCCCGTCGCGCCCGGTACGTACCGAGACGCACCGGCACGTGCCCGCTGTGCGACGCAACCACCATGTGCACGCCGGCAGCGCTGTACCATGCCACCGCGCAGCCGCTGCATATGCGTCACCGCACCAAGCTCGTCGCGACCGGTACGTACCGACACGCACCGGCACGTGCCCGCTGGGTGACGCAACCACCATGTGCACGCTGGCGGCCGCGCTGTACCACGCCACGCAAGAAAATTCGAATTACAAAGTCCTTAACAAAGTTCAAAACCCAACTGCTTTAAAATGGAAAAGTGTAATATTCGAAACATAAAATGATGTGTTGATGCCACGTGCCTGCTGTGTATCAGCGTTTATTATTTAATATGATTCTAGGCTAGATGTTATAAAGAAAATATTATAACATTTAATTTTTGCAAAAATAATATGTTGTAGTGTTTACTTGTAGTTATGATTTTCATACATTTGTATAATTTCCTTGTTCACACTGATTATATGTAATAAATGTTTTGTTTTAGGCCAACAACAACCGGAAACCGTAACAACGCCGTTAGCAAGTGTACAAGAGGAAAAAGATGAAAACGAGTGGACACAAAACGACGAGCACAGAGAATCACAAAAAAATGGTAGCTAAAGATTTTTTGTTAATTAAACCTGTTTAAATTAAGCAGATTTAGACTAGCACCGCGAAGACCCGAAAATAATAATAAGAAAAAAATCGAAAATAATTTTTATAGCCCGTACGGATAAAGAAAGGGATTAGATATGGCTCATAGAGCCCGTACCGTCAACATGAACGGTACCAATAGCGAAAATCCGCTAATAACGGTATATCGTTATAACGTTGTAGTATTCGGTTAGTTGGAAATTTTCTATTAATGATAAAATATTTAAAAAAAAACTGTACATACAAGTAGGTACATTCATGTAAAAATAAATTTATAACTAGCGATCCGCTCTGGCTTTGCCTGAGTAGTTTCTAATAATGTGGCGATATTTAGACTTAAGATAATCTTTAAAGTCCATTTGCTTTATCTTATCAATATTTCTATTTTAATAAAATCTCTAATTTTTTCGGATAAAGTCTAGATCACTCCTGGAATTACACTCTATTTGTTCATGAAGTTTTATTGCAATCGCTTCTGCCATACAACACCGACAATAGCTCGGACAAACAGGCAAATGAAAATTAAAATAATAGTTACTTATTTCACAATAACAATATTAAATTTAAATATCATTAAATTATGAAGAAATCTCAGAACGCGTCGTAGCTCACAAATGAGCAAAACCGGACTGACTGTTTTGTGGTTTATGGCACTTTGTTATTATTAATTTCAATAACAAGTTGTACTGAAGTTATAGAACGTACGGAAAACGCATATTGCAACGTTTTTTTTTGCAGTCGTTACCGGTTGTGAGTATAGAGATAGCGACAGTGTGCGAGCGAGAGTTGAATAGAGGCGCTGCCATTTTCAATCCCATTCTTTTACCGCACGGGTAGTACTTACGATTGTTGCTAATAATGTGTTCACATGATGCTATAAGTTTATGTCCTCACGATAGAAGAGGATAGCGTACATCAATAGTCGTAACGTCCCAATACTGTGGCACACTAAGCTTTACATTTTTCTTTAATTTTTTACTTTCTTTTCGTTTTTGTATGCGCAGTGTGTATCATTAGCCTGTATCGATTTTTTTTGTAAAAAAAATTATGACAAACGAACACATAATCACATCTATCTACTATCGATTAAAAAGTGTAGATGCGTTTTCTCTCACTTGAGGGCGGTGATTAGATGTCCCTTACTTTATGAATAATAGCAACATTAAGCTACAATTTTACGCTAGTATTCTGTGAGAGCGTGGTGATTTAACAGTCGAACAGTTTCATATGTGCTGCAGCTATAATTTTTTGCAGCTTTACTGCACCACTTATGTGTTAAAATAACTTCATTTTCGCGTTGTAGGTATAATTACAAAAAATAGTGTGTTTTTCCTTTTATATGTTAATAATATGTACAGGGTTATTTTTCAAAGAGTATCCAAACTTTAAGTTCAAATATATAAATAATGATATACCGTTACTGCATTTTTTGAAAATACGAGTAAATAAGGTTACTTTAATTTGAAATTATAGCAAATTGAATGATATTTATGGGCCAAAACGACGCGTACGCGCGTTCCTGTGTGTGTGATTCAATTCACAAGGTTTTTGCTTACTGTTTACTTTCTTAGTGACACGCTCACTATTAATACTTAAGTTAATAACTGTACAACTTGAATTAAGATTCCAATTTTTCTTACACTCTTTTAACAGGTTTAGGATCGTCATAAAAATATTTTTGCATATCAGCGACGTAACCGATTGCTATCATTACTATGGCATATTAAAAAATTGGTATAAACTATTTACAACTAATTTACGCAATTAACCCCAATAACTAATATTGTTACCTCAAAACTGAATCCGTTTCTCTCTATGCACATACGGGTACGTTTTCTTAAATAATTTTTTACACTTATTACCTGTGCTTAAGCACTTGTTAACTTCCGTGAATGAAACAATTAATTTTCGCGGTCTTCATAAGTTTGGGCCTCTTTAATGACGGCTCTACACGTTGGCCAGCATAGTGGCGAATGTTGAGGTCAATAGCAATGGCCATTGTGTAGAGCGGGTGTTTGGAGCTTACCTTGCCTTGGTATGTATTGGAATGATGGCCCACAAGTTGGCGCGAGATCCGTGTGGTGTCAGTTTTTTATAAAAGGTCAAAACGTCAGCCAAAACGATTGTGGCTGACGATAGCTCTACAGGTTGGCCAACATAGTGGCGAATGTTGCGGCAAAGATAATAGCCAAGAGTTTTTGATGGCGTCCACATGTTGGACGGTCGTTCAGTTTGCTTCAGTTCAGGCCAATGTGCGGACAAATGTATTAAAATGGATGTTGAGGCGCTAACAGCTGCTGCGCTTTATTTATTCACGGCATGCCGCTATTACGTGAATGTGTATAAGAAATAATTATTTTGGTTTATTTTTATTAGAATTTTTATTTAATGGGTTCTTCACAAACAATTTTCGGCTTGGTAGAGCTCTATAAAGCGAAAAGATTCTTCATTGTTATTGCCATTTTGTAGACACTATTTTTTAATTTTTTTATTTTATAGTATTAGGGTGACAAATGAGCACACAGTCCACATGATGGTAAGTGTATGTGGATGCTGGGGCTAATAGACATCTACATTTAACCTTGATTAAGAATCAAAATGCAGATGCGTTGTCACTCGTGAGGACTAAGACGGAATGACTCGATTCCAGTAAAACGGGTCTCCGGTTCTCTACACTCACCATACGAAACACAGCAGTATCAAGCCGCTATTTTAAACTGGTATTCTGTGAGAGTGTGGCCCTTCCCCGGTCGAGCCGACCCTTTCTTGCTACAACCATAATGTAGCTGCAGCATGGCTCTTCCTTGTGAGACTAGTTACGAAGCGTTAAAAAAAAATTTAAGCAGGTGCGTCAATGGGAGCTCGTAGTAAATTAAACGCGCGCTCTACGTGTGAACGCGTATATCTTTGCCACAACGTTCGCCACTATGTTGGCCAACGTGTAGAACCGCCATAACGTAAATACGACTCTTTTATTTCATCCTACAGATGAAAGTCTCACGGTGAAAGGCTACCTTCATATTAACTATTTAAATTATCGCACACTGTACTTGAATAGTTTGATTAGCTGTCAATTACGTTATTAGGTACAAGTACGTTAATTTATTGCTGTGATGAAGACTCATTTTCGTATAATCTTTGCGCTCCACGTAAACTTTCATTGCTAAAGATGTAACTCGCTCAAATTCATAGTTTTATAGTAATTACGGTTTCGATATTTTCTTTCCGTCAGTGGTAATGAAGCGACATTACTTACGAAAATTTAAAAATAGCACACTCGTGCGTTATGAGATCACGGTAAACATTGTCAGCTGTTGGCCGGCCAGGTGAACGTAGGTAACGGGTAACGGATGGGAGGGCGCGGAAAGACGCGCGACAAGGTACCTAAATTTGTAATGGAGCTACCCTTACGAATGTGTGCGTGTGTAATAAAATAGTCGGTGCTAGTATTTATAAATGACATTCAGTTAAAATAATACATTACCACGCATTACGAATTTAAAAGATAAAAAAGACAGGGTTTGAGATTTTTAATTAATTTTTCTTCTTCATTCGCCTATATTTATTCTGTACCTTCTCTGCAAATTTGGGCATACATTGTAAAATAACCCTGTAAATGCAAAATAAATTTTCGTTTTTTTTTTAAACCTTTTTCTTTATATAGGACATCGAGAAGAGAATAATAATGAACTACAAAGGCGGACTAGTGTTGCTACTGAAGATTTGGGTGAAAATCAAGATGGTGCTGTGTTAGAATCGGCACCGGTTATCTCAATGGTCACCAATCACAGAAATGGAACGCTCAACCTATGGCAGCTGACGTTCGACGACAAATCTAAATTCTCACAGGTTCAATGTATTTTTAACAATAATATTTTGTTTTCATTAAATTTTTAAATGTGAATGTTAAAACTTAATAAATCTTTTACTAGACACTATACAACTAAATAATTCATGCAGAAAGTTGAGATAAAGAAATATCACAGTGCGTGTCAAATTACGCAAGCACCGTAGAACCAGTGTCAGAGTTGCTTGTGTGTCTTGCAGTGAAAGAGTCTCGCCAACTGTATGGTACGCACGACACACCGCTATGGACGTGTATACGCACGTCCGTAGCGGTGCATCAGAATTGTCCGTCGGTAACTTCAACGATGCGGTGCGAACTTGTGCGATACGGTCTTAGAACATTCGTGTAAACACGGAAGAGCTCGACAAAACCTATTTATTTAATTAACGAAATGAAGCGGACGAATGATCTAGTTTTTGATTTCCTTAATATCAATATGAGCCAATGATAGAATTCCACGACATCCTTAACAGCTCTAACACGTCGACCAACTACAGTCAATACAATAAAACAGAGTAGATGTCCAAATTCAAAGAGAGTTTATGTACAAATGACCTATTTATAATTTAAACTTATTTCTATGTCTGAGATATATAAATATATATATATATATATATATATATATATATATATATATATATATATATATATATTTTATAGAATAAGGGTGACAAATGGGTGCACAGTCCACCTGATGGTTAGCGAATGCTGTGGCCCATAGCCATCTACATTTATCCCCGATTAAGAATCAAAACGCAGATGCGTTGTTACCCCTGAGGACTGAGATGAAATGCCTCGTTTCCAGTTAAAAAGCGTTTTCGGATCTCTACACTCATCATACGAAACAATAACAGTATTAAGCTGCTGTTTTGCGCTGGTATTCTGTGAGAGCGTGGTCCTTCCCCGGTCGAGCCGGTCCATTCCTGCTACAACCATAATATAGCTGCAGTGTGGCCCTACCACGTACCACCAGTTATATTAAAATATACGAAATATCATAAAAATTAAACATTGCTTTGTAGTACAAAGTAAAGTTTCATGGTGCGATCACTGCTGAGAAGTATATTTGATTCTCACAGCTAGAAACGGAGTAATTTGTAACATCAAAAATCTTTTTAAAATACTTCATATAAATGATAAGAAATATATAAATTTCGTGTATAAAACGTGTTTTATTTTACAGGTGCTATCAATAGGTCATGCTTCAAGAGCCTCCGGACATAGATTTAGGGTCAATGACATCACATGCCATCCAGTATTACCTTTATTGTTGACAACGAGTCATCATAACATATCTGGTATTTGATGATTTTTATGTTTTGTTATATATCCTTACAATGTAATATTATATTACCTTATCTATATACCACTTCTACTGTATTACCGTTACCGTTACACCCTATCAAAGTCAACTGCTGAACATAGGCGTCCCCATAGATTGCCTCATTATTTGCCATAGTTACCACGCTTGGCAGGTGGGTTCGCAACCACAGTTTTTTATTTTTTAGTAATTAAGAAAACGTTGTTGTTGTGCTCCTGGTTTATTTCCCTTTGTCGCCTCTTAAGACACCCATGAGACGATATGGGATAGTGCTAGATACTTACACTACTTACGGAACTAAAAATATCTAAAACAAGTGTAAAAAAGTCTCACCATCTCTTTTTACCTGGTCAATTTATTGATGGTGGACTTTATGATCATTACACAATAGAAAATGTATAATTAAATAAAAATTGAATCATTGGTCACAGCCACAAAGAATTAAATAATAGTGTCTTGCGTGAGTACTAAACATTAACAACTTGACAGACAACGAGCGTGGGCAGCAGAAGGCGGACGACGCCGCGGCGGCGGGTGGGCTGTGTTCGGAGCTGATCATGTGGCGTGTGGAGTGTGTGGGCCCGCTGGGCAAGTCCGGCGGCGTGTCGGAGCTGGCGCGTGTCAACTCACCGCACCTGTCCGCCTTTAGCAACGTGGCCTGGCTGCCCACGCTGCTGCCCAGGTACCGGCGTGTGCCCGCAGTTGATCATGTGGCGCGTGGAGTGAGTGGGCCCGCTGGGCAAGTCCGGCGGCGTGTCGGAGCTGGCGCGCGTCAACTCACCGCACCTGTCCGCCTTTAGCAACGTGGCCTGGCTGCCCACGCTGCTGCCCAGGTACCGGCGTGTGTCCGCAGTTGATCATGTGGCGCGTGGAGTGAGTGGGCCCGCTGGGCAAGTCCGGCGGCGTGTCGGAGCTGGCACGCGTCAACTCACCGCACCTGTCCGCATTTAGCAACGTGGCCTGGCTGCCTACGCTGCTGCCCAGGTACCGGCGTGTGCCCGCAGTTGATCATGTGGCGCGTAAAGTGAGTGGGCCCGCTGGGCATCTCCGGCGGCGTGTCGGAGCTGGCGCGCGTCAACTCACCGCACCTGTCCGCCTTTAGCGACTTGGCCTGGCTGCCCACGTTGCTGCCCAGGTACTGGCGTGTGCCCGTAGTTGATCATGTGGCGCGTGGAGTGAGTGGGCCCGCTGGGCAAGTCCGGCGGCTTGTCGGAGCTGGCGCGCGTCAACTCACCGCACCTGTCCGCCTTCAGCGACTTGGCCTGGCTGCCTACGCTGCTGCCCAGGTACCAGCGTGTGCCCGCAGCTAATAATGTGGCACGTGTAGTGCGTGGACCCGCTGCCCACCTGACTATTTCTTACGGAGATGCTTAAAAATCAAGATAATATTTTAAAACCAATGTGTCATTTTATTTAAAAAAAATGACAAAATAGTCATATTTAGCATATTTTTTTGTTAACAAAAAACGTGATATAATAGAAAATCTAAATCTAGATTTTCTAGGTTATTTGTGATTATCACTTAAAAGCATAAAAATATATAAACAGCAAAAACGCTGCAGATATCTGATTATTATCGCTCCGACCATTTTTACTAGGTTTCCGGCCGAATGTTATATACGCAATATTTCAGAATTTTTTTTTATTAATGCATAACGATATTCTCATATATCATAAGAAACTAGTCCTCTAACTAGGTTTTCGTATCGTTTTTGTAAATAAGCTGTCTGTCAATCATGGTCAATGATTTTCGGGTTCTAACATTCATAATAATCGACTGAAAGAGACACTTCAGGTTTTAGGACTCATACCAAATTGCATTATAATTATTTCAATTTTAATGAAAAACAAAAAAATGCATTTGAACTTAGACGCTTAAATTAAAATAAAAATGTTTTTTTGCAGCTCTACTTTAGGAAATTTATCAAATTCACCGTCCGCCTGCTTTGTGGCGAGCGACGGTGAGAGCTTGAGACTCTTTCAAGCCGTCATTGACGCTCGTACCCTGTTAGCGGAAATAGCTACGTCGGAGCGACGTCATAAGGACACTATGGTAATCTCAACTATCATTATTTGTTTCATATGGCAAGTCACTTTAGAGATTGTAAGATTGAAATACTTTATTTGAATATAGTGTGGATAACAACTCTGCAAGTTTTCCCTACAACGGGAAAGACCCTTGATCACAAGCCCGTAAGTCTATTACGCGCTGATGGTAGAAAAATGTAGGTAATCACTTTCTTATTCTTTCGTATTTTACTAGGTAGAGCCATGCTGCAGCTATATTAGTAGTGTTGCGCGCCTAAGTTGACGTCATGTACCCGGCACTAGCGCCATCTAGTGTCGGGGACCAGAGCGAGGAGGGCTTCCTAGAAAATGTCAATCTTGACTTTCGACCAACAGCGCCATCTAGTATCGAACAGAAGAATTAAGCTTTCTAGAAGCCCCACACTCGAACTTTCTGCGTCTGGTCGGTCGGCGCCCATATCTACGGGAATATTCTGGATGATTCGGTGTAATAGTGTATTTAAACCCTCTGCATGCCACGATCGGGGCAGTATTGAATTTGGCGAGACGAGCGAAGCTTCGGAGCGAAATAAAGTGAATCAGTGTGATTAATTATTAGTGTCTTTTTAGTTTTAATTAGTGTAAAGTGAATTAAAGTGTTAATTTTGGTAATTCAATCGGCAGTTTTTATTTTCACGAACCCTAAGCTCGTAACAATTGGTGTCAGAAGTGGGATAAAATCATGCCGATTTTACCTAAGGAGGAAACGGAGGATGTCCGTACGCGAAGTCAACACCAGCAGGAGACGGACCAGAGAAGATTTGCTGGTGCAACGCCGCAGACTCGGGGGGGGGGGCAACTGCCAGCCACGGAGGCTGGCCCATCAGCCGCTCCTACACTTGCAGCACCTGACTTAGGTGCTCTCATGATGATTCTGCAGGAACAGGCCCGCCGACAGGAGGAACAGGCCCGCCAGCAGGCGGAACAGGCACGCCCATTGGATGAGCAGCTGCGGGGCGGACAGGAGGAACAGGCTCGCCGACAGGAGGAACAGGTCCGTCAGTTGGAAAGCAGCTGCGGGGCGGACAAGAGGCAAGAGGAACAGGCCCGTCGGTTGGAAGAGCAGATGCTCCTCATGAAGGACCTTCACGCTACTTTCGGGACGGAGATAAAGGAGGTGAAGGATAGGGTTGCTCAGCATGACAACCGCCTGTCGGAAGCTGAAACCCAAATCGCGAAAGCTAAAACCCGAATCGAGAAAGCTGAAACCTGTATCGACCAAGTGAACAATCGGGTTGACAACGTGATGGCTGATGTGAAGAAAACGCTGGACGGCCTCAAACTGGGGGATGGACCTTCGCTACGTGGGTTCAAAGTCCCATCGTTCGACGGGACTTCTTCCTGGTCAGCTTACAAAATCCATTTTGTGGCCGTCATGCAGGCGAACGGCTGGAATAAAAGTCAGGCCATGACTGCACTCACCCTAGGCCTGTGCGACCAAGCCTTAACTGTGTTGGAAGCTCTCGGTAAAAAAGTGACTTATGAGCAGCTCCTTGAGGCATTAGAGGCGAGATATGGCGACGCTCACCTGGAACACGTCTTTCGTGCGCAGCAAGATCGCGTGCAGCGCATCAACGAAAACCTGCAGCAGTGGGCTCTTGAGGTGAAGAAGCTGGTGCGAAAAGCATACCGGTCTGTACCTGCGCTCATTGAAGGGAACCTGGTGCAGATATTCATAGACGGCATCCGCGACCTTGGAGTCAGAGCTGCTGTGAGGCTCGGGCACTACGAGACGCTTAAGAACGCCCTGGCCCATGCACTGGAGGTGGAAGCCGTGCGGCAGGATCTTATTTCTCATCGCGTCAGGGATGTTGCAGCAGCTACAGCAGTCCGCGACCGCAATAATGGATACAGCCCTAGGTGCTATGGCTGTGGGGAAAGGGGTCATCTTCTATCCAGCTGCCCTAAGCGAACCCTAGAAAGGGAAGGTGAACGATCTCAGAAGGAAAGTGCGGCTAACATCACCGCCCAGCATCAGCAGGAATACAACTTTACTATCAGACACTGCAGCGGGAAATGGTGAGGCAACACAGATGCATTGTCAAGAAGACCTTATCCTGATGATTGCGAGAACAGTACGAGGCAAGAGGGTAAGGAAGTGTTGAGGATGCTCAGGACAGACCACCTCAGCAACGAGTGGAAGGACAGCTTACAACATGCACAGCAGAAAGATCCGGACATCAAGCCGATTCTGGAATCGATGAAGGCCCGTGCTACCAAGCCCAAGTGGAGCGACGTCTCAGCGATGAGTTCGACCACTAAAAGCTATTGGGCCCAATGGGACAGCTTGCTGATTCAGAATGGAGTACTGTACCGTAAATGGGACAATGGTTGAGGAGACAGCTGTCGTTTGCAAATGGTTGTCCCTAAAGCTAAAGTGCCGAATGTTCTACAGCTGTACCATAATGGTTGTTCAGGAGTCCATCTGGGAGTTAAACAAACTCTACTGAAGATCCGAGAACAGTTTTACTGGGTCCATTATCGTGACGATGTCGAGGATTGGTGTCGCACATATACAAGTTGTACGGCTGTGATGGGACCTCAGACACGTAGTAGAGGAGCATCGAAATTGTACAATGTTGGTGCACCATGGGATAGGACGGCCTTTGACATTGCGGAGCCGTTTCAGAAAGGCGCAAGAGGGACTCCTAAGATCGTCCATGTGGATCGCCTGGCGCGTTATTATGGGGCCGATAATGCTCGGGACGAGCATGTCTTAGGAGGGGGCAGTGTTGCGCGCCTAAGTTGACGTCAGGTACCCGGCACTAGCGCCATCTAGTGTCGGGGACCAGAGCGAGGAGGGCTTCCTAGAAAATGTCAATCTTGACTTTCGACCAACAGCGCTATCTAGTATCGAACAGAAGAATTAAGCTTTCTAGAAGCCCCACACTCGAACTTTCTGCGTCTGGTCGGTCGGCGCCCGTATCTACGGGAATATTCTGGATGATTCGGTGTAAAAGTGTATTTAAACCCGCTGCATGCCACGATCGGGGCAGTATTGAATTTGGCGAGACGAGCGAAGCTTCGGAGCGAAATAAAGTGAATCAGTGTGATTAATTATTAGTGTCTTTTTAGTTTTAATTAGTGTAAAGTGAATTAAAGTGTTAATTTTGGTAATTCAATCGGCAGTTTTTATTGTCACGAACCCTAAGCTCGTAACAGTAGTATATTTGTAGCACGAACGGGTCGGTTCCACCGAGAGAGGACCACGCTCTCACAGAATTCCAGCGTAAAATAGCAGCTTAACGTTCGCTATGTTTCGTATGGTGAGTGTAGAGAACCGGAGATATTTTCTTCGATTTAGTCTTCACGGATGACAACGCATGTGCATTTTGATTCATAATCGAGGATAGATGTAGATGTCTATGGGTTACAGCAACCACTTACCATCCGGTGGACTGTGTGCTCGTTTGTCACCCTTATTCTATAAAAAAGTACGATGTCATATTTTTAAAATGAGAGTTAAAGCTGAAAAGTTACAGCAATATTTACAAATAATCTCTACAATTGTCGTGGCACGTTATACTTAATCAGGTAATAATATTTTACGAGTATTTATGCTTATTTACTTTGCTATTACAAAGTACATAATAATTTCTTTTTTTTAATAATTTGTTTAAAACATTTTAGTTGCATTATGGGAATAAAGATATTTTTTAAAAACGATGGGAGAAATAATAAATATAACCATTGGGTGATTTTTCCCTAGTATTTTCTATTCGTTCACAAAAGTCCAGTGCCATGAAAGGTTTTGTTTAGTTATTATTAAACCAGATTCACTCTCCTACTTAAAAGGATTTTCACGTGACAAAGTCTAATAAATCGATGAACGCCGGCTGCACGCATGAAAAAGGATGACTCAGTGTAACGTTACGCTTATTGTAACGTTACGCTCATTGTAACGTTACGATCAAAGCGAGAGCGCTGCACGAGCTACCGAAAGGCACGATTGGCTTGAGCGTAAAAGTAAATTTATCAATTAAATTGTAGATTTCATTTCACTTCTTTGTATCCGTTCAAAATAGTGATAATTCAATAAAAGTGATTCAATTTTATTTATAAAAGTACAAATCATTTCATCATTGTTTTGTTATGACGTTGTCACGTTAAACTGTCGTCCGTAAACCGACTTTACAGATAACCGATTTTTTTTAATTTAGAAATTATTTTTTTTAATTAGTTAATTTAGCCTTTGAGGGCTGAAGATGAATTCATAACATTAATATCATTGCAAAATTATTAAGGCTATTCTAACATGAATAAAGAGCGGCCACAGGGAACGCACGCATTCGTATCAACGAATTATAATTTCGTGGTATATTTATAAAATGGCAAGGCTTAACATTATTACGTCATTTGTTAGAGGCTCATGAGGTGATGTGAAATTCTATTGACGAAATGATTACTTCAACTAGGCCACCACAAGCACAGCAACAGATACCTAATTATTCTGGTACTTTAATAATATTATATCTTCAACACTGCCATATCCATAGCAGTGTTCTGAATCATACAAAATGTAAATGTAATGATGCCAGTAGCACACGTGTCGCCCGCTGAGCCCGCAGTGGTCTGGAGTTGATGTAAGATATGCGGTTGTGTGCGAGAGCAGGTCGACACGATGTCGCTGTCCTCGGAGTCGAGCGCGGAGGAGGGCGGCGGCGGGGCGGGCGGCGTGCCGCTGCACGACCGCATCAAGATCGTGTCGCAGCAGTCCACGGCGCGGCCCGGCGCCGTCATCCAGCTGCACGCCATCGCCGACGCAGCGCACGACTGGCACAACACGCAGCTGCTACACGTCTTCCAGGAGCAACTCATCACCGGTCACTGCTCACTCACTCACTCACACATTCATTTTTTGAAGTGAAAACTTCTTTAGCGCGTTGGACACTTTTTCTGTAATGGGTAAAAATTGTTAAACTCGCGTCAGGACACGTGACCCTGATCGAAAATGCGTAAGACGGACGGCGTAGGAGGGAAAGTATCCCCCTCTCTTTCTACTGCGCGGCGGCCTGCTGTTTCGTTTAGGCGGCGGGGCGTGCACATTCATGTTTATGTACGATGACGCATTAAATAAATATTGTATTCTACCACATAAATGATAGTACTTTTATACTGATAATTAAAGCAATTCGTGCAAAATTATTCCATAACCATTCCAAAATATCAAAAATGCACAACGTTAATATTCAAGTTTTCACTTCTGCCGGCACTCCCGGAGTGCAACCCGTCGTTTTTTTTTAACTATTCTAAGCCAGCGCTTTACTACAATCCCACCTTATGATAAGTGGTGATGTAGCCTAAGATGGTGAAGCGAGTGAAGCCTATTCACTTTTGCCTTGAAAATGTAGGTAAAATTGTAATCAGGTGGAAAGACAGATGTTGACAACTTGTTCCACTCGTTTGCTGTACGCAAGACGATCGATGTAGCAAACCGTTTGGTTCGAATGCATAGTAAGTTAACAACGAAAGGGTGGAGATAGGCCAAACGTCTGTTGTCCGACTGTGGAAGAGAGAAGGAGGAATTAAGTTACGCAATTCCTGCGCACACACTCCGAAATGTATCCTGTAGAAAACCTAAAGACTAGTTGCTTTAAATTTTTCATTCATTCACTAACGTAATTTTTTTTGTTATTTAAAGCACAGGAAATGAGCTGATGAACAGACTACCTGGTAACGTAGTTTCTTTTTTGTAAGTCTCAGGAAAAATTATCAAGTGTTAATAAACTCCCTACCTACTCCGAAATACATGCTACACTTAAATAAATTAATTATTGGGTTTTTCTGTCAAGAAATTCCCAGTAGCAACCCAGAATCAGTAAGTTTACGGTGTTTCACAGCCTTGAATCGGTAAGTACGTAAAGCCGTTGGTCCCGCTCCTGATCTCTCCGGTTATGCAAGAATTCCTTCCCATCAAACTATGAGAGTGAGGAATGGGAATAGAGAGTGCACATGTGTTTACACACACACTCGTCGAAGACGTGTCTCTGTTGAGACTGGGTGTAGTGACCGAAATTCAGTCTGGAGGACATTAATTATAATAAATCGAAAATTATTTATTGTGATGCATTTTTTATGAACTAACTTGTTTATAACAGTAATATTAGAGTAACAAACTACCTAATAGACTAACTGATGGTAATTGGCTACTGCAGTTCATATACACCTGCGACCTACTTCCAACGTAACTTAAATTGAAAATTTAAAAAACCCCGAAATAAAAAGAGTTGATGATCTCGAAACGACTGGAAAGATTTCCTTGAACAATAGCTAAGAACACTCGATCAAGTGACCTTCCAAACAAAAAAAAATAACTAAATCTAAAGCAGTTCATCCGTTTGGGTGCTACGATACCACATAAAGACACACAAATGCTCACGTGAAACGTATAACACCCCTCTTTGTCGTCGGGGGTTAAAAAAGGTACTACTACAGATGCATTGTCACCACTAAGAACTATGATATAATGCTTCACAGTTTGAAATTTTTATAACTCTCTTACTATTCGAACTAGAACACATTAGTTTTATTGAATCAATTTACTGGAACACATTAAGTGGCTAGTAAGCAATAGCTACCTACTTAGGCAGAAATAGTTAAGTGGTTTTTTAAAATTATATTTACCCAAACAGATTCCCAGACAAGAAAATATTCCTATCAACTTTTCATTATCTATTTATCCTATAGGATAGGATGTTTATGTTGTATACTTATGCCTTTATAGGCTTGCTGTGATAACATTTAAGGTAACTGTGAGTTCGGCCTTCTGGCAAAACTATTTTAAATACTTAAAAGGTCTCAACTCTAACAGTGTATCAATTTACAATGTCCTTGTTACTCAATGAAATAAAATAATATTTTTATTTTAAACTAAAATTTATCATAAAGCATCTTGCACATTTGACGTTATGACCAGACCCGTTGAAGTATTTTAGTTTGTATATTGAAGATGTTATAGATAAGTATAATATATTTCACTTCTGAATTAGATATACATTTAAACCGTTTTCTTAATCAGGTGAAAGGACAAACGCCGATACGGAAAGCGGGGATTCAGGCGTCGAGGGCTCTGAAGTAAACACAATCACTGAGGCTGGATATGAGGCTATAGTCGACTTACGGAAGGCTGCCGTGTTCAATGAGCCATTCTACATAGTCGTGTTAGAACGTACCGATGGAGGGTCTACGGTGCATATGTGGAGGTTAAATGTATCTTCCCAGGCTGACCTCTCAGGTGACTAAATCTTATATAAATTAAATACCAATGCTATAAACGTTAAAAATAGTACAATATTAATAAATATTTAATATTAAAAATTAGTAATAAAAATAATTTACTGAAATATCAAAAAAAAAAAAACAAAAATAAATTATTATGAGGTACCAATTTAAAAAAATGAGAGTACAAAAAATATTTCTATGTGTGTGTGTGTATGTATAAAGTTTGTGTTTTTAACAATAGTTTTGTATTCTAGATGATATGGCAAACAGCATGATGTACGTACCGGATAGCGCGTTAGTCCAGGAAGAAGAAGGTGGTGAATCTCGTAAAAACTCTGTGTGTGTTGACGGTGATCGAGCAATTCCTCAAACACCCGTGCATTCTCATCTGTCAATTTCAACTAAAAAGGTAAAAAATCCTATATTTTTATAAATATGTACTGCTTTCTGATTATTGAACACAATGTTGGTTTTTATTTGTCTCCAAGATTTTTCTGTAGAATATGGGTGACAAACGAGCACACAGTCCACCTGATATGTGCTGTAGCCCATGGACATCTACATCTATCCTCGATTAAGAATCAAAATGCAAAAGCGTTGTCACCTCTGAAGACTAAGATGGAATGCCTAACATTTAGTTTGTAAAATAAAATAATAATTAATACACCTACTTTAGTAAGATTTCTGTAATGCGGTGTATTGTGCGATTAGAATATTGTGTACATAATATAGACATCAATGGTTTACGGAAAAAGTTCAATGAGTATTTGTTTACGTCAAAACTATCATAAATTTCTTTTGTAAATAATACTTGTTGAGCGGTGAAGAATAACATTGTGAGGAAATCCGCATGTATGTCTGAAAGTAATAACAAGTCAGGTACGGGAGTTCTGCCAACACGAATTAGTGCGGCGTGGCTGAGTATTTGGTTTAAGGCAGTGAGGAATGTGAATGGTCCACTGTGTGTCGCTACACGAGTTGTGCGTCAGGTGTGCGAGTGCCCGCTGGCGCTGCCGGACGGCGTGGACGTGATCCACGCTACGCCGGCGGCCGGCCACCTCAGCTCGGCGTCCATCTACCCGGCCTGCCTGGCGCCCTACATACTGGCCACCGCCTGCTCCGACAGCACCCTCAGGTACCTGCCTGCTGTGCGCCTCTCTACCCACTACCCATACCAACTTCTGCCGCTTATCTTTATAATCTTTATAGTTTCATGAATTATATATGTGGCCTTTACTTTATTTTTACCGACTTCAAAAAAGAGGAGGTATTCAATTCGATTGTATGTTTTATATGTGTACCTCGTAACTTTTCTCTGAGTGAACCGTTTTTGATGATTCTTTTAGTCATCTGAAAGCTGGTGCTTCTCTTGTGGTCAAATTTAAGATCTTACTAGTAGTTTTTGAGTTATCTTTAATAATGCGTATTTAATTAACTTCGAATACATTGTTTCGGTCGTATTGAAGTCAGTTGTACAATATTTTTAATTTTACCAATTGTATCTTACATATCTGTAACAATTGAATTGAAAAATTGAATATGTAAAATAATTGATAAATTAAACACGGTAAAATCCGTAAAATCAATGTTATTCCACGTGTAATATTCGCATAAATATCTAAGAAATCATTACGACTGTTTTTTGCCGAATATATAAAAAGAAATATTATAATAATAGTTGAAGAGTCTGTTAGTGATCATGTAACTTCAGAACTACTTCATCGGTAGAGATTTTATTAACACATTTTACCTATTTTGTTTTCGTAGGTTCATGCTAAGATACGATAAGTGGCGCTATATTCGAGTGATTTACAAATTATGTATTTATATTGGTACCAATATTGGTTTAATGCTATAAAACAAAATCAAAATGTGGACCAAACAATTGACTGTGGTTGAGATATTGATAAATTTTATATTTACACTGTAAAAATTTCGGTGTGAATTAGTAGTTAAACCTATTGTGCCACCTACCAGAAAGGGCAGAATAACGTCTGCCAGGCGAACAAGTATTTATCTATTAAATTACGCTATATTTGCATTTTATTTAACTTACTTAAATTAAGTATTAATTGTCTTTATATTTGTCACTTCCTATTGTCATTTAGTGATGAGAGAGAGAGAGAGAGAGAGAGAGAGAGAGAGAGAGAGATAGCAACTTTAAACATTCGTTAAATTTAAGTCAGTTTTTATGAGTGAGGCTAACATTCTTTATTATTAATAAAGAGAAACTTAAACGTTTTATTTTTCGCCGGACTTAATTTACAGTAATACTAAGTTACATTGGATTTCAATAATAGTTCTACTTTTGTCATTTTTATAGGTTTTGGAGATGTAATGTAACAAAAAGTGAAAATGGTGAAATGGAATATACTTGGAAAGAATGGGAAATGATGAACAAAGACCAAGAATCTACTATAGACATTCCAGGTATGTAAATGACATTTTAAATTAATACATTGGCTACTTTTTCTTTCACGTTATCGACATATTAGAATCACTTTATAATTTATTTTGGTCTTTTGGTATCCATGATAATAGTTTAAAAAAGCAAACTTTTCTTACTAGCAAAATTTTGAAAATTTATTCAAAATTAATTATTACTTATGAAACAATTTTAATTTAATAATTTTTTATGTATCTTTAAAATTTAAATAATTATATACATGGAAAAGCCATGTTGCGGCTGTATTATGTCTGCAGCTTATTTGGTTGTAAATGGGATTTACCATCAGATATGCAATGTATTTAAATATAATGTAAATGCTCCACTTACAATCAGATGGATAGTGACCTTGTTTTGTTCTCTTCTAAAAAAACATCAAAATTGGCTATTATTAAGCTAACATGTCATCGAGAAAATAATGTAAGAGGAACTGATAGTTATTTTGAAATAATATTTTTATTTATCGTTGCTACGTTATAAGTGTCCAGCTAATGAAAGTTTAAAAACTGCATTCAACATTGAAGAAAGAAGGCTAAAGATGCATAGTCACCTCTGAAGCATGAAATGCCTCCTAGCTTATATTGATTGTCTCTCAGAAAAAGTATCATTTAACGTACGTTGAAGAGAGCTGGGTGCAACAATGGTTACTATAGAATAGAATAGATAAACAAGCACACACTATCTAATGCTATGGGGATGCAAGTGTTATATATTCAAAATGTTGTCACCGCTGGGGACTGAGATAGAATGTCAACTACACACATATCCACCTTAAAAAACAGTTGCATTAAGTTGCTATTTTACCTTTATGCACTGTGAGGGCTTGGTACCCGACTGAGGTTGGCACGTAAAATTGTGATGACTGACTTTTTATTTTATTTTATTACATAGAAGTGATGACTTATGGTTTCGATATTGTTGTAATTTTATTGTAGCTTGTATTGTTAGCCTTTCATGATGAAATAGCAATGAAATATTTTGAGGATGCGTATCTGATCACTGATTGGTGTCGCGTCACAGGGCAGCCTTTGCACATTAGCGCGGCGTACTCGGGTCGCATCGCATGCGCGTACAAGTGCGGGCGCTCGTTCACGCGGCCTAAGGGCGGGAGCGGCGGCAACGGTACCAACGGAACCAACGGCAGCACCGGCAGCAACGGAAGCAGCGACGCGCGCTTCGTGAACCTGTGCGTGTGCGTGTACGAGTGCGAGAGCACGGGCGGCGCCGAGTGGCTGCTGGAGGACACCATCCCGCTGCGCAACGTCAGCCTGCCGCGCGCCGGCCTCGGCGCCGACACGCAGATCGACCTCTCCTACCTGCACGACACCTCCTTCATGCAGAAGAAGCAGCGGCTCACGCAGGTGACGTCGCTTCTACCCTCGCATACCACGCTTACTACAGGTTTGCCAGCGGCCGCGTTGATCGAAAGTAAAACTTATATACATCCTGCCTAGCCAGGGTGATATGGACAAATTGACATTCTCCAGACTAATTTTTTAATATTATATTACCCACACGCCACGATCCGAATCCAATCCAATCCACTTGTTTGTCATTGTGTTTAAAATTAATCCTCTGAACTCTATATTATAACATATAGTAGACTGCTTACCAAATGATGATGATTTGAAATTGTCAGTCCACCATTAATTTGTCGAAGACGTAAAAATTTTTGTTAACTATTTATATGTAACCTTTTTTTCCATATAAATAGGTTTCTCCTGTATCGTGGGGGTAGTTTACAAACATAAATTTCACAAGGACAAACATACAGACCCGGAACAATAACTTGTAGGCCATGCAAATACTTGTTCCGTGCGGGATTCGAACCCGCGGCCCTTAGCGTTGTAACTCATTGCTAAGCCACTGCGCTACGGAGCCGTCAAACTATTGTAACACACAGCGATCAAAAATATTTCAAAGTATACACAGTCTTCTTATTATCTTAACCTTAATTTCGCTTCATTATAAAATATTATTGCAGGTTCTGCAAACATTATCATCAGACGACAGCAGAAACAACCGCAATGGTGAGGGTGATACTGGTAAATCGGCAGGACTTCTAGCAGTGCCATCTTTCAGTACTTTGCAATCCCTTCGTAGAAGTATTATGGAGAACGGCAATACTTGTCCCTTAACACAGAAGCATTTGGTGCAGCTAGATTGGGTTTCGAAGGAAGATGGCTCGCATATTCTGACTGTAGCTGTAGGCTCTAGGCTATTACTTTTTACGCCAGTTTCGAGTGACCTCGCCCAGGCGAATTTGAAGGTATAAAACGCACAAATTTAATTTGTTTTCAAATTTAAACTTTAATGTTTAAGTTACTTTTTTTAGATAAATTTACACTTTTATTTATAGGCAATGAAAGAATCAATAAATAACAACCGTCCAATATTACGTAAGGCTTCCTCTCTTGCGGCGCCGTTATTTGTGGAAGAAATAAGATGGATGCAACTGAGACGAATCGACTTGAAAACTGCTGACGGCTTACCACCGCTTCCAATGCAGATTTCTTGGGTCCGTGACGGTATATTGGTGGTAGGCATGGACTCAGAAATGCATGTATACTCGCAGTGGAAACCAGAGCACCCTGAAGTACCTTCGGGACAAGACAAGGTACAATGTGTTTTTTTGAAGTGAAAACTTCTTTACCGGCGTTGTACACTTTTTTGTAATGGGTAAAAATTCTGACTTGAAAAGACTGTTCGAAAATTCGTAAGATGGATGGAAAGAGAGAGACAGCCGGCACGGCGTAGGAGAGGAAATATCCCCCTCTCTTTCTACAGCGCGGGAAAATGTATGCCTGCGCCTGCTGTTTCGTTTAGGCGGCGCAGGGCGCTTGCGCGAATGTTCTTGTGTGATAATTCGTGCAAAATTATTCCCTAATCATTCCAAAATATCAAAAATGCACAACGTTAATATTCAAGTTTTCACTTCTGCCGGCACTTCCGGATTGCAACCCGTCGTTTTTTTTTATAGTACAAATGATGGATAGTTGTGTCTACTTATATTTTTAACATGTTGTTTTAAGGAAATTGAGGAATGCAATGAATCTCGCGCTCTCCGCGATTCAGACTTGCGCGTGTCCGCACCACATCTGCAACGAGTGTCCTCAATAAACTTACAACTATTGGAACGAGACGCTAGACGTCGAAATAAAACTCAGTCAGATCAACCTCAGGTATGTCACAATAAGTTTGTAGTTAGAGCAGCTGTAATGAAAATGAAACATTTATGAAATTAATACCGAAAGTTAAGAGTATGAGTTTAAAAAATGTGAGAATTTTTTAAATTTATTGACCGTGTTGAATGATGACATGATTTTTTGATTAAACTCATAAAATGCTATTATGAAATATTTTTTTCCACAGCCTTTATTAAATTACATGCCTGACTATGGATTATTCGAGGCGTCCCAAATGGCTTGTCCAGTTCTACCACAATATCATCCGAAACAATTAATGGAGTTACTGAACAGCGGAAAGATTCGATGGGTAAAGGCGATACTCGCTCATTTGGTCAGGTTAGTCTAAGCTAGTTATAACATAATAGCACTTTATAATTTATATTAAATAGTTATAATACCTACTGTTGCGCGGCTAAGTTGACATCTGGCAATAGCGCCATCTAGTGTCGGGTAACAGAGCGAAGAGAGAGTTTTCCAGAAAATGACATCACTAATCTTTCAACCGACAGCGCCATCTAATATCGAATTGAAGAACTAAGCTTTCGGAAGCCCCAAACTCGAACTTTCTGCGCTTGGTCGGTTGGCGCGTGTATTTACTCGAATATTCTGAAATATTCTGTATGTTTTCGTGGAAGAGCCCTATATAAAGGCGCTGCAATACGCGATCTGGGAAGTATTGAATTCGGCGAGACAAGCGAAGCTTCGGAGTGGAATAAAGTGAATCAGTGTGATTAATTGTTAGTGTTTTAATTTGTGTAAAGAAAATTAAAGTGTTAATTTAGGTAATTTTATCGGCAATTTTTATTGTCACGAACCTCAAGCTCGTAACAATTGGTGTCAGAAGTAGGATAAAATCATGCCGATTTTACCTAAGGAGGAAACGGAGGGTGTCCGTACCCGAAGTCAACGCCAGCAGGAGACGGACCAAAGAAGATTTGGTGGTGCAACGTCGCAGACTTCGGAGGGCCAGCCGCCGGCTGCAGGCCCGTCAGTAGCTCCTACATCTGCAGCACCTGACTTAGGTGCTCTGATGGTGATGCTGCAGGAGATGGCTCGCCGACAGGAGGAACAGGCTCGCCGACAGGAGGAACAGGTCCGTCGGTTGGAAGAGCAGCTGCGGGGCGGACAGGATGAACAGGTCCGCCGACAAGAGGAACAGGCCCGCCGACAGGAGGAACAGGCCCGTCGGTTGGAAGATCAGCAGGCGGAACAGGCTCGTCGGTCGGAAGAGCAGATGCTCCTCATGAAGGACCTTCATGCTACCTTTGGGAAAGAGATAAGGGAGGTGAAGGATAGGGTTGCTCAATATGACAACCGCCTGTCGGAAGCTGAAACCCAAATCAAGGAAGCTAAAACCCAAATCGACCAAGTGAACAATCGGGTTGATTACGTGATGGCTGACGTGAAGAAAACGCTGGACGACCTCAAATTGGGTGATGGAACTACAGCTCCCGTAGTAGCTACTACACCTTCGCTACGTGGGTTCAAAGTGCCACCGTTCGACGGGACTTCTTCCTGGTCAGCCTACAAAATCCAGTTCGAGGCTGTTATGAAGGCGAACGGCTGGAATAAAAGTCAGGCCATGACTGCTCTCACACTAGGCCTGCGCGACCAGGCCTTAACAGTTCTGGAAGCTGTCGGCGAGGAAGTGACTTATGAGCAGCTCCTTGAGGCATTGGAGGCGAGATATGGCGACGCTCACCTGGAACACGTCTTTCGTGCGCGGCTTAAAGATCGCTTGCAGCGCATCAACGAAAACCTGCAGCAGTGGGCACTAGAGGTGGAGAAGCTGGTGCGGAAAGCATACCGGTCTGTACCTGCGCTCATTGAAGGGAACCTGATGCAGACATTCAACGACGGCATCCGCGACCTTGAAGTCAGAGCTGCTGTGAGGCTCGGGCACCACGAGACGCTTAAGGACGCCTTGGCCCATGCACTGGAGGTGGAAGCCGTGCGGCAGGATCATCGTTCCCATCGCGTCAGGGAGGTTGCAGCAGCTACAGTTCGCGACCGCAACAGAGGATAGAGCCCTAGGTGCTATGGCTGTGGGGGAAAAGGGCCATCTTCGATCCAGCTGCCCTAAGCGAACCCTAGAAAGGGAAGTTGAACGATCTCAGGAGGGTAGTGCGGCCAACAGCACCGCCCAGCAGCAGCAGGGAAACGAGTAAAGGCCAGAACTGCGGGGCGGGTGCTGGCTGATGTTAAAAGAACCCCAAGGATCTCGATCTCACAAACCCATGATGGAAACAGTCTAATCATCAAGGGCGAGGTCAACGGAATGCCGTGTAAACTGACCATAGACACTGGAGCCTCTCGTACGATTGTTAGTTCCCAACTTATAAGTCAGTTCCTTGGGGACTCCGCATACAACCGAGAACGCATTAGTTTGGTAACAGCCACCGGTCAGCGTATACCCGTCCGTGGAGAGAAGGAGATGGAGTTAAAGCTAGGCAACGTGATCTACCTGCATAATGTCATCGTGGCTGATATAATGGACGACTGCATCCTGTGCCTAGACTTTATGAGAAATAATTGTTGTGAGATCGACGTTAAGCAAGGTGTTTTGAAATGTGGACAGGAGGAACTTTTTATGGAAGGTGCGTTACCAGGGAACGTGTACAGCATTAAGAAGTTTGTTCTTCCGCCGAGATCGGAAACGATTGTTCCGGTTAGTCTTCCTCGAAACACTGGGCAAGCTCACCGTTGTGTACTTGTGGAAAGGGTAAACAATGACCTTCCATGGAAAGTGGCTCGAACCTTGGTCAGAACCACTGACATCTCAGGAGTACGTGTGCTGAACCTTTGTGACCGGGAACAGATTATAGAAAAAGGCACGCGGGTTGGTACTTCTGAGGAAGTGGATTGGTTACGTCGGTGCCAATATCTATCGAGTGAGACCCCCAGCAAGGATGCACAAACGAGAGTGACCACACTTTTGGAAGACTGTCGCAGCGTTCTCTCCCCGACCGAAATGGTCAAGGCGAAGAAGTTGTTACTCAAGTATGCCGATGTATTCTCATCAAACGATGCTGACATAGGAAAGACTGGCTTAGTTCAACACAAAATAAACACAGGAGAAGAATTGCCTATCCGTCAGCGACCAAGAAGATTGCCGGTAGCACGTGAAAAGGAAGTGGAAACCATGATTGAAGGAATGGTGAAGGATGGTGTTATTGAACATTCCTCTAGTCCATGGTGTTCACCAGTGGTGCTGGTAAAGAAGAAGGATGGCAGCATGCGGTTTTGTGTTGACTACCGCCGTCTGAACGACGTTACGAAGAAGTACAGCTATCCCTTGCCAAGAATTGATGACACGCTGGACATGCTTACAGGAATAAAGTGGTTTAGCACGCTGGATCTAAAAAAGTGGCTACTGGCAAGTTGAAATTGACCCTAAGGACAAGGAGAAAACTGCGTTCTCGACGGGAAAGGATCTGTGGCAATTTAAAGTATTGCCATTTGGGTTGTGCAATGCTCCAGCAACGTTTGAAAGGCAGATGGAACTTGTACTTACCGGGCTAATTGGCGATGCCTGTCTGGTCTACTTGGATGATATCATCATCGTAGGTCGTACGTTTGAGGAACACCTTCAAAACCTGGAACGCGTGCTCATGAAGATTCAGAGTGCCAACCTCAAGTTGAGTGCGAAGAAATGTTCATTATTCAAACGGCAAGTTAACTTTTTGGGGTATGTAGTATCGGAAGAGGGCATCCGCACGGATCCAGAGAAAATCGCCGCTGTCAAGGATTGGCCGGTTCCAAAAGACAAGACGCAGGTTAGAGCATTTTTGGGTTTGTGCTCCTATTACCGGCGGTTTGTGAAGAATTTTGCAGATATAGCCGAACCTCTGCATAAGCTAACCGAGGAGAAGCGACTTTTCCGCTGGAATGAAAGTTGCAATATCGCATTCCAGGAGCTCAAGGACCGTCTGTGCAAAACACCTATTTTGGGATACACTGATGCAAGCAAAGAATTTATAGTTGACACAGACGCAAGTGATATAGGACTTGGCGGTGTGTTGTCTCAACGGAATGGTGACCAAGAGGTCGTGATAGTACTTCAGCAAGTCGTTGTCAAAACCGGAAAGGAACTATTGTGTCACAAGACGCGAATTGCTAGCTGTGGTAAAGTCGTTGCAACATTTTAGCAAATATCTTCTGGGACAAAAATTTCACTTACGAACTGACCATGCTGCACTATAATGGCTATTGCAGTTTAAAAACCCAGAAGGACAAGTTGCGAGGTGGATTGAACTACTGCAGGAATACGACTTTGAGATCGAACATCGCAGCGGGAAATCTCATGGCAACGCAGATGCATTGTTAAGAAAACCAGCAACGAGTGGAAGGACATCTTACTACATGCACAGCAGGAAGATCCGCACATCAAGCCGATTCTGGAATGGATAAAGGCCAGTGCTCCCAAGCCCAACTGGAGTGACGTCTCAGCGATGAGTTCGACCACTAAAAGCTATTGGGCCCAGTGGGACAGCTTGCTGCTTCAGGATGGAGTTCTGTGTCGTAAATGGGAAAATGTTCGGGGAGACAGCTGTCATTTGCAAATGGTTGTCCCTAAAGCTAAAGTACCGGATGTTCTACAGCTGTACCATAATGATTGTTCAGGAGGCCATCTGGGAGTTAAACGAACTCTACTAAAGATCCGAGAACGGTTTTACTGGGTCCACTGTCGAAACGATGTCGAGGACTGGTGTCGAAAAATGCACCATGGGAGAGAATAGCCATTGACGTGGCGGGACCGTTTCCGGAGAGTGAAAGCGGTAACAAGTATTTCATGGTTGTGATGGATTACTTCACTAAGTGGCCAGAAGTCTTCGCCATTCCAAATCAAGAAGCTTCAACAGTTGCGGATAAGCAATAGCAATAGTTCATGAAGTCTTCTGTCGTTTTGGAGTACCTTTAGAGATTCACAGCGATCAAGGAAGGAATTTTGAGTCTCAAATATTCCAAGAAACTTGCCGAGTTACGGGTACTCACAAAACAAGAACGACTTCTTATCACCCGCAATCTGATGGAATGGTAGAACGATTTAATCAGACATTGGAGAGGTACCTAGCAAAAGTACAACTTTTGCTAGGTACCTCTCCAATGTCTGAGACCATCGGCAACGAGATTGGGACAAGCACATACAACCGTTTTTGTTGTCATATCGAAGCGCTGTTCACGAAAGTACAGCAGTGACACCAGCTTTCGCAAACTTTGGAAGAGAATTACGGCTGCCTGCAGACCTGATCACCGGGATACCACCTGATACCCCACGCAGTATAACCGATTATGCAAATGACTTGCGGAACAAAATGAATGACATTTATGAGCACGTCAGACAATCAGGCCAGCAAATGTCTGAGAAGATGAAAACCCGGTACGACCACAAAATGAACAATAAATGCTTCGACGAAGGTTCACTAGTGTGGCTGCACAATCCAGTCCGCAGCAAAGGGAAATCTCCTAAGCTTCAAGCTAAATGGGACGGCCCGTACCGGATTGTAACCAGGATCAACGATGTAACCTACCGGATACAGAAAGGCACAAGAAGAACTCCTAAGATCGTCCATGTGGATCGCCTGGCGCGTTATTATGGGGCCGATAATGCTCGGGACGAGCATGTCTTAGGAGGGGGCAGTGTTGCGCGGCTAAGTTGACATCTGGCAATAGCGCCATCTAGTGTCGGGTAACAGAGCGAAGAGAGAGCTTTCCAGAAAATGACATCACTAATCTTTCAACCGACAGCGCCATCTAGTATCGAATTGAAGAACTAAGCTTTCTGGAAGCCCCAAACTCGAACTTTCTGCGCTTGGTCGGTTGGCGCGCGTATTTACTCGAATATTCTGTATGTTTTCGTGGAAGAGCCCTATATAAAGGCGCTGCAATACGCGATCGGGGAAGTATTGAATTTGGCGAGACAAGCGAAGCTTCGGAGTGAAATAAAGTGAATCAGTGTGATTATTAGTGTTTTAAGTTTAAATTTGTGTAAAGAAAATTAAAGTGTTAATTTAGGTAATTTTATCGGCAATTTTTATTGTCACGAACCTCAAGCTCGTAACACTACTAAAGACTTATCTGTTGAATGAAATTTTTGCTTATCGACGTTAAAAATAATTTGTATATTTCAATTAATCATAAACAATACTATATTATTGTATATATTTATTTTATTAATTCCGATTATTAAATTGGTGTAAAGAAAGGAACTATAATAAATTTTTCAGATGTATCGGTGGCACATACACAGGTCGTAGTTCTCAAGGCGATGAAGACAGTCTCTCAAGACAGGTAAAAATCACATGGTATATTAATTAATTTAATATTTATTATATTATATAATAATTTAATATTATGATTGTGATATTCATATTCATTGGAGTGTTTTACTCAACTGCTAAACAATATGTGAAATATATGACGTTCACATTAGCAAAAGAAAATAAGGATTATAAACATCGCTTCATATTTTTGAATTTTAAAAGGCATAATAAATATCATTTCTCAGTCAATTTTATGTAGTAATTAATATTAGCATGAGAGTTGTATCATGTTCTTTGCCTTTATTTCTTCGCAATAAAATTTTTATGTATAAATATTTTATTGATTAAATAAAAAAATGTGTTTTTGGATTAAATTTCAAATTGAAAGTTATAACGTACATTAATTTCTGACCGTCAATGAAAGATGAAATAATACGTACATTTTAAGTGACGTGGTAACTATGCCTACTTTATTACGAAAACGCACTCACACGCGCCACAATCAACACACATGCATCTATAATCATTTTGTTGGTTTAAATGGTTTTAGATGCTATGCGTGAGAGCGTGTTCTTGTCATAAAGTGTCTTGTAAAAATATAAATTACATAAAATAAGCATGATATAACTATAAGAATGGTATAATAAAATAAGCTGTATAAACGTTAATATATCTATTGCCATATAAAGAATTGTCTATGTGATTATCATAGTTACACTAAAGTAATTTAAATAATACTAGTTTTTACGGATTTTATCGAGTATGTATTTTTTTTATTAACCCGACGTTTCAAGCAATTTACAGCACCCATGGTCACGTGGGGGGGGGGGGGGGGCTGAGATTTTCAACGTCCAGATGTCATAGTTAACCGCGGTTACCATAGATTAACATTATTAATTTTTGTTCCGATCTACGCAGTATTAAATTATAGTATCTTGAAGTCTTGCAGTTGTATGCTTGGGTTGGAATTTAATTTAATTTATTATAGGATCCCAAGCAGATTGTAGCACCCAGCCATCTTCTCTATTGCAATTAGGATGTTTTTTTATTTCAATAGCTTCGCGAATCATCCTTAGAAGGAATCGGTGTTCTGTAGCGAGGATTTGTGGTCTATCAAATCTGATGTAGTTTTAATGGGTCTTTTAGTTTGTCCTATGTAGGAGAGACCACATTCACAATGAAGCTTGTACACTCCTGCATCTTGCAGAGGGACAATACACTTGACTAATGGTAAAAACTGACCAATCTTCTTCGGCGGCTTGAAGTATGTTTTAATGGAAGCGCGCTTCAAGATGTAGCCAATCTTATCAATGACTCCTCTGACATATGGCAGTACAGCAGGGACACGCTCGACTGTGGCTGGTTTCACTAGTGACGTAGGCGCGGGACCCGAAGATTGTTGTCGTGCAAAACTTTCTTGACGTGTTGAAGCTCGGCAGCCAGGTGTTTTCTGCCACAGATCCTCGTGCTCTCTGAAACAAAGATTTACCAACGGTAGCTAACTGTGAAGAATGAAACCATGAAGAATGGTGAGAATTACCGTTTAAATATCTATATGTATGGGTCTTTTTTCAATACACAGTGTGGCTCAAAGTGTTATCAGGATTCCGAATTACTGACACATCTAAAAAAGCTAAAAAATTGTTTGCCTTTTACTCGATTGTGAACTAAATTTTAGAATTTATAGAGTTGAAATGGTCTAAACATGCAGTTACTTTACCTAAAAGTGGAATTGTGAAAGTGTCGTCTACGTACCGCTCGTAGAATTTTAGATTTACAGGAGAAGTAAGCAGGGCTTTTTCGTTAAAGTCTTCCATGAATATGTCGGGGACAATGGGAGGTACAGGTGAGCCCATCGCCTCACCATCTACTTGCTTGAAGAACTCCTCTCCATGCTCCACTACGTCCCATAGTGAGCCAAATCGAATCCCCAACTTACAGATTGGCTTAACATTAACTCTAGCCGCTCAGGGGACATACAAGAGCACACACAATAGATTCATACCATTTTGTCAGCGAGATTAAAATGCTACATCTGGCAGACAATGAAACTATGGTCAGTTTTGATGTGCAGTCATTGTTTACATGCTTTCCTGTTCAAGACTGCATCTCAATTGTAACTAGAAGGCTGGAAGAACACAACTTGCCTTGCCAACTGTCGTACATCGGGATACCTATTGTGAAAGGAGGAGTTCTACAAGCAAGTAGATGGTACCATTTATATTATTACAATAAAATGTTTTTGTGAAACAAAAATAAAGTATTTCAACTTATTAATTAGTACGATAAATATAAAGGAATAAAATTATAAATAAAAATAAAATAAAAAATATACGCTATAAAATCCATAAAAACTAATATTATTTAAACGTGTAGTGTTCGCGTGAATATAAGAAATCATTACATTAAAGTAAAATAACAGAAATCCTTCCCAGAAACGAGATGCATGTAGGCTGTTAATACTTTGCCTTTTAGCACTCTATAAACGTTCCATTACTAGGAACAGGCATTAATTCGATCTTGAAATGGTTCATTTCATTAATGCCTAGGTCGCACACTTCGCGATGTTTGCGACGTATTTTCGAGAATGGCAGTTTTTTTGAAGTAATGAGAAGATTAATAATTTGATGAGAAATTTTGAATAAATAATGCACGTGTCTAAAACTGTGTCCCGTTGCCAAAAACGTAGTAAAAAAATTATTCGATGCAATATAATATAGAGCGACCGCGGCGTCTATTTTATATTTAGGGTGTGTTTATCTCGATAAACTTTACAACGCGTTATGTGGTCAGACACATTCACCGTAGGCGGAAGGTGAAGTTTTATCGCCGGAATACAATCGCGATGTGTGTGGCCTAGGCATAATGCTGAAATGAATCTGCATAACATTCGCATAATATGAGTGTTGGCAATGGTGTCGCTGTGGCATGTCGTCCCGTGCATGTGTGCGTCGGGCGGCGTGTGCATGTGTGCGTGTGTTGCAGCGCGGCTGGTCGCGCTCGCGCACCATGTCGGTGTCCTTCGCGGCCGGTGCCGCCTCACCGCTAGACGGCGTCACGCAGGTAAACCCACCACAATACATCGCCACAACCAAAAATAAAATGATGCTCTGACTCATCAGCCTTTTGAAGTCCTCTTCTGCACACAAAGCTTTCCAACAATGCTAGCTGTGTTGCATATCTAGTTAACTTACCTTATTTCACAATGCTGAGCAAGTTTGAACTTATTAATATAAATTAATAAGTTCAAACAAAAAAATCTATAAAGATATCTATTAAGTATGCAGGGGTTAACTACTGTTGTTGCTGTATGATTCGACTTGAAAATGGGATTATAAAGCTTTTACTTAGAATACGACTTATAATTATGCGATTTTTTTACTATTTAATATTTTATTTTAAATTTGGATAATCAGAAACTGCATTATGCATGTATGTGTGTATGTATTAAGTGAACTCACTTTTACACTCATATTATCAGTCCACGCTTGTATAATTGTAATGCTCAGTATAGTAAGTATGTATTTTAGGTCTGTGTATGTGATATGTAAGCTTATGTTTTATGTATTTAACACCTGCTTTTTTATATTTACCTTTTAAGTAGTAATCTTAATTTACCTTTTAACAAATAAACTGAAAACCTTTTGTTAATCTTTTGGAATTTTTATTTAATTTTATTTCTATAATTTTTTTAATCACTACATGACATTTAACATATTATATGTCTAATTCAGTGTTTTTGTAATAATATTTATATATATATACTTTTCAATTATGTCCAATAACACAATAGAAAAATTATTTAATATTATTAAAATATAAAAATATGGATTACACTACAAATACAAACATAATATACAGATCACCGAAGACGTACAATTAGATTACGCTGAATTGACATCAGTGCCGCCGCTTCCGCTATGGACCTTGTTAGTTGCCGACAAAGAGTCCCCGCATCATCCGTCCACTATTCAAGAGGCTAAGGTAAAAGTTTGAATACATAATATGTATGATAATGCCCTTTTACACATAAATAAAGTTGCAAATTATTTATACGGATATTTTAAGAATGGTGTTTTCATAACCAATACCCTGTTTTTGCTGCCAAATATATCCAGAAATTGTTGTATGAATAATATATATCATAATTAGTGATCGGATAATCGGATGCATATTTACCTAAAGTTCATTTTTGGCTAGAAAGTTATGGAAGCGGCTTCTTAAAATATATTTATTAAAATATAAATCCCAGGATTCGAAAAAATACGGGAATGCAAAAATACTCTGTATCACGGTGAAGAAACGTCTTTTATAGAATGTGGTATTTATTTAAAAAAAAAACATGGGGATTACATAATTATTAACGGGTGTTTACTTGAAGTTTATTATATGTTCCCCATCAATTTATGAGTATGTCGAGTGTAAGAGGAATGGTAGGTAGTAGGTGTTAATTTAAAAAAAATAAGAGGAAGTTATTATTTCTATATATATTGTTTATTATAGCAAATAGAAAATTGATAAAATGTTTTTGGAATCAAACAAAGAAACATTACATACATTTCACTTTACTTTGGTCGTCAGTTTCTCTAAAATAAGTCCATAAACCTCCTGCCGCTCATTTTTATCACATAATTATTAATTTTTACTAAGAATAAAACAACGAAACACTTTTTTATCACAAGAGTAGTCAAAACAAGCATGTGCCCGCAATTTCCTCAGTAGTGGAAAAGTGACGGGGACCGAGAGGCAGGGTCCGGCGTTAATCCCGCGCGCTCTCTGGTAACAAGTTTCGACATAAATTGGTTGGGTCCCGAGGTTATCCTGCCGAATAATATTCGGCAGAATATAAATTCGGTTCGGTAAAAGTTTTACCGAACATTCGGCCGAATATTCGTATTCGGTGAAATCCATGTTCGGCCCATCCCTAATATATATATATAATATTTATATTTATATATATATATATATATATATATATGTATATATGTGTGTGTGTGTGTGTGTGTGCGTGTGCGTGTGCGTGTTCGTGTGCGTGTGCGTGCGCGTGCGCGTGCGCGTGCGCGTGTGCGTGCGTGAGTGCGTGCGCGTGCGTGCATGTGTGTGTGTGTGTGTATAAAAGTTAAAAGAAGTAAATATACCTACACTCGATTTGATTCTATAATAAAAACAGTAAATTCATTGACGATACAAAACTGCATTCCATAATAGCCAACACCTACACGTTAGGTTAATATGTATCCGATTATAAAATCACTAAACATAATAGAAACTGGACATAAACTCGGTTATTTAAATGTTGATTTTAAGTAGTCTAATGAGGTGTAATCTTAAGTTACTAAGTTTCGCTTATATTTTACATCATATTGCGGTACAATTACAACGAAACATAGTTTTTAGAAATGGAAGTAATCGCAAAGTAATTTTGTGAATTTCAAATCATTATGAAGTTACAGCATTTCATGACATAGCAAATTTTTTTTATTAAAAGCCATAAGCAGACGTTAAAAGGCTTGCACGCATGAAAATTAAATAACAATTAAGAGGCTATGTGGCGTTGCTCATGGCTTGACGAGTATGTTTACCTGGGAGAAGTAGTCCGACTAGGTAAAGTCCAACTTCGACCGAGAGGTCAATCGACCGAATCAACTCGGCTGGACAGCGTTCGGCAGATTACGACGAAGCGGGTCAGGCATTTCTCAAAACCCCAAAACTAGATTGCACAACCAGTGCGTGTTGCCAGACGTGGTCCTTCACTGCTGGACGTATGAGGAAGCACAAGGTCGCTTAACGAGCTATGGAGAGGGATATGCTCAGAGTTTCCCTTCGTGGTAAACTTAGAAATGAGGATATCCACAGTAGAACCATAGTGACTGACATAGCCCAACGGATTAGTAAGCTAAAGTGGCAATGGGCCGGCCATATAGCTGGAAGAACCGACAACCGATGAGAAAAAAAGGTTCTCGAGTGGCAGCCTCGTACTGGCAGGTGAAGTGTAGGGCGTAACTCCTACTAGATGGAGTGACGACCTGGTAAAATATGCAGGAAGTCGATGGATGCAGGTGTTCGTTGGGGGAGGCCTATGTTCAGCAGTGGACTTGTGAAGGGCTGTAATGATGATGATCAAAGAGTCTAAGATATAAAAAGACAAGACGTTAAATGTGAAACTCTTGAAGAAAGTCTCTTGGAGAAAAAATTGTAGCTTATTGTGTTAATACTTACAAGTACCGTACGGTAGGTCTCTTTTTCAGCCTTGGAGTCAGTCAGGGTGGGTATCACCTTCTTACCTATCTTTGTCTCCAAGGAGCAGTGCCAGCGCTGCTGAATTCCTGAGAGCCAGTATAATTACAAGATATGAGACATTCCATCATATTCTCAGTGGTGACAACAAATCTGTAACGTTCTAGGCTCAGAAGGGCTAAAACCCAAAGCCGTAAAGCCAGTTAATAAGAAAAATGTAACGTTCATTATTTGAAGTTGGTTGCTGGTATCCGTAGGCTGCAATAGCTTAATAGAAAGACACTAACACATCAGGTGGCTCAGGAATTTTGTTTATCACTTCAATTTTATAACAAGTGCATTAATTTTACCATAGCAAACTCAAATTACGCATCAGCAACTTTTTAAGTTAACTGCTGGAATGACCTTTCCAAGAATGTGCCAATGTCAGATCTATTACTTGGAATATTTGCCCACACTCTAAATGCTGCTAATGCTGTTCGCCATCACCAATGTATGAAATTTGAAATTCAGTCGTATAAAACATCCACTATCAGTTGATCGTTAGAGCCCCGTGAAGGAAAAGGAATCAGCTGGGTATTGTCCCACACCAAATAAGCAAATTCTACATATAAATTTTGTTGCTTGCAGGATTACAATGAACTTTTTGATGGAACAATTGAAATGGAAGACGATTTGGATGCACTTCTACTTAGCGAAGAAGACGGTATCGATCGGCGCCCTTCAATGCCGGAAAGACAGCCACTCTCGCATTTTGGACCCAGACAAGGTAAAATCTAAAGCTTAAATGTGTATTATGTGTGATTAAAAGAAGTACATAAGTCTTATGTATAATATGTATACGTTTAGAAATTTACTTGAAAGCCAATGTTACTCACGTTACTCCAGATAGACATACGAGGGCGACACTGAACAAACATATATAAAAAAAACATAAACACTCACGCCTGTCACCCAGAGGGGTAGGCAGAGACTACAGACTTCCATTTGGCACGATCCTGACACACCTATCTTGCATTTTCTTTACAATTGATTTACTGCTCTTCAATTCCGTCCTCCATGGTGGCACTACTCCAGAGGCGTGGAGCAGAAGTGCGGTGGTCTTGTTCTTTAAGAAAGGCGACAACGCTCTCTTGAAGAACTACAGACCGATTTCCCTTCTGAGCCGCGCCTACGTGCTGTTTTCGAGAGTCATTACGAATCGTCTCGCACGCAGACTCGACGACTTCCAGCCTCCCGAACAAGCCGGTTTCCGAAAAGGCTTCAGTACCATATACCACATAAATACCCTGCGGCAGATTGTACAGAAGACTGAAGAGTACAATTTGCCACTTTGCCTGGCGTATGTGGACTATGAGAAAGCCTTTGATTCCGTCGAAATTTGGGCGGTGCTGCAGTCCCTTCAGCGGTGCCAAGTTGACTGACGGTATATCGAAGTGCTGAAGTGTTTGTACAGTAGGGCTACGATGGCTATCCGAGTACAGAACCAGAGCTCGAAACCTACCCAACTGCAGAGAGGTGTAAGACAGGGTGACGTTATATCCCCGAAACTCTTCACCGCTGCTTTGGAAGACGTTTTCAAGCTACTGGACTGGAAAGGATACGGTATTAACATCAATGGCGAGTACATCACTCACCTTCGATTTGCCGACGATATAGTCCTTATGGCAGAATCGCTGGAGGACTTAAGCACTGTGCTCAATGACCTCAATAGTGCCTCCCAACGGATAGATCTTAAGATGAACATGGACAAAACAAAGATCATGTTTAATGTCCATGTCACACCTATGCCGGTAGTTGTTGGGAGCACTATGCTCGAAGTTGTTGACGAGTACGTTTACCTGGGACAAATAGTCCGACTAGGTAAGTCCAACTTCGACCGAGAAGTCAATCGACGGATTCAACTCGGCTGGGCAGCGTTCGGGAAATTACGACACATCTTCTCGTCAGGTATACCTCAATCTCTGAAAACTAAAGTGTACAACCAGTGCGTGTTGCCAGTGATGACTTACGGATCAGAGACGTGGTCCTTCACTGCTGGCCGTATGAGGACGCTCAAGGTCGCTCAGCGAGCTATGGAGAGGGCTATGCTCGGAGTTTCTCTGCGTGATAGACTCAGAAATGAGGATATCCGCAGTAAAACCAGAGTGACCGACATAGCCCAACGGATTAGTAAGCTGAAGTGGCAATGGGCCGGCTATATAGCTCGAAGAACCGATAACCGATGGGGAAGAAAGGTTCTCGAGTGGCAGCCTCGTACCGGTAGGCGTAGTGTAGGGCGACCCCCCACTAGATGTAGTGACGACCTGGTAAGATATGCAGGAAGTCGATGGATGCAGTTGGCTCAGAACCGTGCTTTGTGGCATTACTTGGGGGAGGCCTATGTTCAGCAGTGGACTTGTGAAGGGCTGTGATGATGATGATGATGATGATGATATGTTTGTAACCGACTTCTTTAGACTCGATTTACTAACAGAATAATATCTTATATTAAAAAATATGTTTTACTTTTTAGTTCGATGTGCTCTAAAAGCGTGTTTTTTTAGTTTTTTTATACTATATTTTTATCTATTATTATGTAAAAAAAAGTTGACACAATAGTTATATTAAGCAAAAGTACTTAGACAATTACATTTATTCATTTAAAATATTAATCATACGATCTTGCCAAGGCACTGCTTCTGTTGTAATGAAAAGATCTGCATATTTATTTCTAATAAGTATCGCTTCTCTAGACGATCGATTATTTCGTGTTCCTGATAAATTCCGTAAAGATCTTTGTAGCTGATCACGCCAGAAGCCGTTAATAATAGTACTGAGTTGAATATCTTCATAATCCACACACCTTTGTGTGATATAAGTATTAGTGGTTTTCCGCAACCAATTGCGTAAAGAACATGCCGCTAATACTATGAGGTCAACTTTTTCTGGTTTTAGAGCTATAAATTATTCAAAAATTCGGAATCTTGATACAAGGATACCGAACGCATTTTCGACAATTCGCCTGGCCCTTGACAACCGCTAATTAAAAACTTTTTCTCTTCGGGTGGCCCTGGTAGGAAACGGTTTCATGAGATATTTTTTTAAGGGAAAAGCTGCATCTCCAACTATAACAGAATGTTCAGGTATATCTAAATAATTATTTTCTAGTGCTTGTTTCAAGACTGATCTTTCAAACACTCCTCCATCTGAAGCTCTGCCGTTGCCTCCTATATCAATATAAGAAAAACAGTAATCGTCATCCACCAATGCTAGTAGCACTATGCTGTGGCTTCCTTTATAATTAAAATAATTTGATATTTCGTCACGAGCAATAATATTTATGTGTTTGCCATCGATAGCTCCAATACAGCCTGGAAAGTTCCATTTGGTTCTATGGCCATTTTCTATCTCCTTCCATTCCTGCCTCCTGCCCGTGCTGCCGTGAGTGCTGTAAAGCGTTCGAAACGTCGGGTATTTAAAAAGTTAAAATATACGCGATAAATTCCGTAAAAACTAGTATTATTTCAATGTGTAGTGTTCGCGTAAATATAAGAAATCATTATTGTTTTACTCACTTTAATAAAAGCCCTTAGTGCAGTAGCTATTTCACTACAAACAATTGGAATGAACTGTGATATCGTCGATTTTCCTACTCTGTACAATGCTTCTAAAGATACAAATGAATCACCTGTAGCTAAAAATCTTAATGTTATTTCCAATTTGGTTTTTGCTGGGATGGCATTTCGTATGTGAGTATCATTTTTTGTTATTTTGTCCCTAATTTTTCATAACAATTCATCAAATTTTTCTGGGAGCATTCTCAAATGGTTTTTGTAACCATCAGGATCTTCTTGACGCATTTCTTTAAGCAGACAACTACTTGCTCCAAAATCATCCCTTCTACTAATACAATCTCTTACCCAAGCCCGTCTTCTTCTTTTTCTCTTTTTATCTCTCATTAATTTAGCTACACATTCAATTGCTAGTAACAACACGATTTTGTTTAATTCACTTCGATTGTTATCCATTTTTGGCACGCAAGAATAGGTTCCGAGTGACACTCACGAACTGTCCTGTGTATACGCAATGGTAATACTGGCATGCAAGGGCACAACTTGCATGCCAGTATTACATGCAAATGTGCCAATTACTCGTACATGCCAGTAACTTTCATGCCAGCTACTTTCCCGATTTACTGGCATGTGTATCCCCAGCTTAACAATTGTTTGCCACTTGTCTTAGAAAAAGTTCAGGAGAAAAGACCTCGCAGTAGGATCTTCCTTCACCAGACAACGCCTAGTCGCACACCGCCAAGCAAACATTCGTCTACTTGGTGACGTCAGACGTGGAGTTACTGGGTAACCCGCCCTAAAGTCCCGACCGCACCTTGTGATTTTTATTTATTTCCGAAAATAAAAGAAAACTTCGAGGAAAACGTTTTATGGACGCCGAGGAAGCAGTGGCTGGGTTTCAAAATGCCGTCAAAGAGACTCCAAAGGACGAGTGGGCAAAGTGCTTTTCTCAGTGGTTCCATCGGATGCAGCGATATATTGATGTAAATGGACACTATTTTGAAAAGATTAATAAAACTAATAACTTGCTAGTTTGTTCAGTTTTTGATTTTCTAAGAACTTTCAGTGTCACCCTCGTAATATCAACTTGTTACTTAACTATGCTATTGCTGTCATGTCACTATCACGATGTCATAAACATATATATGTTTATGACATCGTGATAGTGACATGACAGCAAAAAAAATATCATTTTGAACAACCGAGTCTACGTAGCCTTGACGAATTTTTTTAGTTACGCATTCTAGTCGGCGAAATTTTGTCCTTGTTGTGGTTTAAAGGGCGAGGCCGAGGCCAGGCAAGTGAACTTCTACGAACCGATGAAAAAGCGGAAGAAGAATATAAAAAGCTTTGGATTAATGTCTGTCGGGCAGGGCGCATCCTGTCGCGGCTGCTGACGCACACGCACCTGCCGGGGCTGAGCTCGCTGGACCAGATGCACCTGCTGGCGCTGGCCGACACCGTGTCCACGTGCGACGCCGACTTCACCGAGCGCTTCGCGGCCAACGCGCGCCTCGAGTACGCGCACAACGCCCCACAGGACTTCATGCCCGGTAACCTAATTATTGTGTTTTTGTATAAAGAAAAGTTGGTAATAGGTACATTTGATGATTTAACATTCCTCAATTCAGCAGAACGAAAATTGGGATTGCATGCAAAAAATTTTGTCATCTTCAATATATTTATCCTTGGTACTTTCTGCCGACGAAGACGGAAGACGCATGCGTAAAAATGCGTCTTCCATGATACCTTTTCAATAAAATTCGGAAAACTCGATAATAGTAATGATAACTTGAATAATTTTGAACTAACACAGCAAAATAGCTAGTTCTCATAATCAGTGACACAGAATACTAATACGTGTTCTAATATATATATATACATCACAATATTGATTCTACGTCCTTTCATTTCGCATTATTGTAGCATCCACAACTTGTAGGCATTTTTTATACATTATGACAGCGTATATTGGTCCATTAAACAATTTCAAAGATAGTGTTTAACTCATTTCTTTGAAAATTTACCATATATCGATATACAAATATTCGTATATTGCCAGACGGAGGGAAACCAATCAGGGCTCCCTTCCATATTACAAATTATCCAGAATCCCCATAATATACATAGTTTTTAATTCATTCTCCTGCTTAACGCAATTCCTTTGTATGGTGCGACGTTGCCACTCTTATTAGTTATTCCGCTTTGTAATATTTTATTTATAGGTGATATTTTGTTTATGTAGGGATTCGATAGATTCCTATAGTCTGTTTTTTTCGCAGGAGACAAAAATAACAGATCGTTATGAGATTCGTTTAGCACGAGTAATACAGTGTTTATGATTCTAGTATAGATTAGATTTAATTTTAGTCACATAAGTTTCGTATATTGTTCAAAATAATGAAATAAATCCACAGAATGTATAGTTACGAAAAATACGCAATATCATTTTTGTTTCCGACGAAAAAGAAAACAGATTACCAACTAGTTATTCGTTTACTAAATACGAAAAAATATCTAGGGTTGCCCAGCCGTGATACATTATAGATTGACTATATTATTATTTATTTTACTATTGTAAATAAGTACTAATTGTAGATATTGACAGGTTTAATAGAAGTTCATTTTCTTATATTGTGACTAATAACCTAATATTACATTGGGAAGAAACTCATTTTAATATAAGGTTTTACTGCATTAACTGCCAATGGGTTGATAATTTCTACAATAGACCATGGCGTATTGTTGCCGACATGAATAACTCCGAAAATATAATTTATTTACTTGATCGTATTGAAATAATACTAGTTTTTAGTCCTGCCCGTGACCATGAGTGCTGTAAAGCGTTCGAAACGTCGGGTAGTTAAAAAGTTAAATACACGCGATAAATTCCGTAAAAACTAGTATTATTTCAATGTGTAGTGTTCGCGTAAATATAAGAAATCATTATGATCGTATTGAGTTTTGGTGCTCTCACTGCGAGTTTACTTTTTATGATCACGTATACGGACGAAAGAATATCCTAAAATATTCACACTAAGTTTTATTTGACGTCCACTTCTTCGATATCCGATGTCCAAAGTTTTGATTTTGTTGTTGATTATTGCATTTTACTATTTATTTATGTTGATTATTTATTTAGTGCTCAAGGCATATTTTGGTATTTTTTGTCGGTTTATACCGTACTCAGTGCTAGTAGATAAGTTTACTTTCCAATTTGTTTTCGTGTCCTTAGATTTAGGTACATATAATAATATGGACGTCCGAATATCCTAAAACATTCATACTGAATGATATTTGACGTCCATATTTTTGAATTTTGTTTTATTTCTATATGTGGGCGTCAGATTATCGGTAAAGTTTAATACCGCACGATATTTGACGTCCATATAACTATGAATATATTTATATTTTAATTCCTTGTGTATTAAACACACGTTAATGATCATTGCTTTAATGACATTTTTCGCTATTGTTTTATTCGTATTTTAGTGTAGGGAGGCCATGTGGTGTAAAATAGTCACTTTCGTGTTTTATTAAATGTTTCGTTCTAGAAATTACAAAACGCTTAGAAGTTTAGAAAACGTGTGTGAAAAATTAAATTGTATTTCAAATAACTGCAAAACCAAACATAATATCATAATTTAACAAAAATATCCTTTCACAAAAATGAATCTAGTTAAGTAGAGAGTAATTTCGTACAGATTAGGTACAATAGTCGCACACATCCTTAAGATGCAGTGGGAGCACCAAAACTCAACACGATCAAGTAAATAAATTATATTTTCGGAGTTATGTCAGCAACAATATGCCACGGTCTATTGTAGAAATTAACAACCTATTGGCAGTTAATGCAGTAAAACCTTATATTAAAATGAGTTTCTTCGCCAGACCATATTAGGTTATTAGTCAGAGGTTATTAGTCACAATACAATAAAACAAACTTTTATGAAACCTGTCAATATCTACAATTGAGTCCATCTTTCTGTACTCAATCAGAAGGTAACTTATACTGAAACAGATTTATGGGTTGCTTACAAAGTACCAAATGTAAAATGTTAAAATATAGTGCAGCATGAAATAAACCGATACGCCGACGCCCGCATCTACATTTATAAAAATATAACTAAATTCAAAAATACGGGTGTCAAATATCATTCAGTATGAAAGTTTTAGGATATTCGGAGTCGGACGTCCATATTATGTGTAGGTAAATGTAAGGTTAAGAAAACAAGTTTAAAAGTAAAATTACTAATACGAAGCGCAGTATAAACCATATAATAATGTCTTGCAGGCCGAATTACGGTTACGGCGGTCTGCCTCAACGGAGACTAGCCATCGGCGCAGGACAGGATTATAGTGCTCAAGTGTATGCGCAACCACAGGTGCACTCTCTATTCCCTCACTCTCATAATCCGATGGGACGGTAAACCGACACGACCAGACAGAGATCAGGCGTAGGACCAACGGCTTTACGTGCTTTCCGATGGAAGGGGTGATACACCGCCAACTTTCTGACTACGGGCAGCTATTGATAATTTCTTGACAGAAAAACTCAATAATTGATTTTTTGGCCCGACCCAGGATTCGAACCCAGGACCTCACGAACTCACGATCAGCAGTCGCACTACTACAACCGCTAGACCAACGAGGCAGTCATAACCATATTATATCACCAAATACAAGTAACACGTTGGCAACGGTGACGGAACGGCAACGTCGCATCTCCTAATTTTGTGCGGAAGTCATATACGGCCATAAATGAAAGTATTCAAAAATCGACAGCAGCGCTATTATTTTTGCAACGAAAATTAGCTTAACTACGTAAATTTTCACTACAGAAAGATAGGAAGAAAAATGACGTCCAATTTTTTTTTTAGATTTTGACATTTCTGTGATCAGCATGACAATTTGCGAACATTGCGCTAAGTCTCCTATTTGACGTCCGTATATTGGACGTCGTAAGCAGGTTGACGCCACATTATATGCAAAATTAGCCATAGTGGACGTACAATAAGTTACGGGATGTATATATATATATATATATATATATATATACTAGCTAGACAGGCAGACGTTGTTCTGCCCTTTTCGACGACCATTTGTCTTGCCCTTAAATTCGCAAAAAAAATTGTGGGTCCCTCATCGCCAAAAAATCTATCCTATCTCTCAAGTCAGACCAAACTGCACACGGTGCGCAAATTTAATTAAAATCGGTTAAGTAGTTTAGGAGTCCATCGCGGATAAATAACGTGACACGTAATTTATATATATATATATATATATATATATATATATATATATATATATATATACATCCCGTAACTTATTGTACGTCCACTATGGCGAATTTTGCATATAATGTGGCGTCAACCTGCTTACGACGTCCGATATACGGACGTCAAATAGGAGACTTAGCGCATTGTTCGCAGATTGTCATGCTGATCATAGAAATGTCAAAATCTAAAAATAAAATTGGACGTCATTTTTCTTCCAATCTCGCTGTACTGAATATTTTCGTAGTTCCGCTAGTTTTCGTAGCAAAAATAATAGCGCTGCTGTCTATTTGTGAATACTTTCATTCATGGCCGTATTTGACTTCCGCACAAAATTAGGGGATGCGACGTTGCCGTTCCGTTCAAATAAGTTTTAAACAAACAAAATCACATTACTTCGTTTTGTTTTGTCGTTGTTAGTATACGCGCGTTGTGTGTAAGCTCGCCGCATTTATTTTTTTGAGAAGTGACGTCCGCCTCGCTAAGCAAAATGACTAGTAAAAGTAGTCGAAGTGCAAGGATATTGAAAATGATACAAGGAATCAAAGGTAAGTTTACAGTTTTCGATTTGATTTTGTTTTTGATTTATAATATTAGGTACCTACCTACTTTAGTCCGAACCTACACCACAGATTACTAAATAGTTACTTTACCATTTTGATTCGTAATCGAGGATAGATGTAGGTGTCTATGGGCTACAGCATCCACATACCATCAGGTGGACTGTGTGCTTGTTTGTCACCTTCCACTTCTTTGAAATGTAATTTTTTAATTTAAAATAGATATAATACAATAAGTGTAACCTGTCAATTGAGTCAAATAAATTATTATTATATTATTATTTCACGCTGGTATTCTGTGAGAGCGTGGTCCTTCCCCGGTCGAGCCGACCCATTCGTGCTACAACTATACATCTACTATAACTGCAGCATGGCTCTACCACGTATAAAAGTTTAAGCTAAACAAAATAACAAACGTAAATATATTTTAATGAAATAATAACTAATAAGCCAATTATAAATACTGGTCAAGTGCGAATTAGATACACGTACCCAGGGTTTCGTACCACTGTACACTATGAATTTTGACCTGCAAAAATTGTTTTTCTTTCTCCTGCTTATTTTTCTTAGTTTCATACCGTAAGTTAAAGTACTTTTGAAGTATTTTTTTAATTCAATCTCTAAAACCTTTTTCATTACTCCACTCCATCGCAGCCATACGTGCAACTCCGTGGCACACATATAATGCCGTTGTCAAATTATCGCGTTAATTCGTGG